ATTGTCTCAGTTACGATCTGGATATGGACACCAAACTGTCGGAGGAAACGACCACTCTCGTGGAGAGCTATCAGGTGATTACACGATCGGTTGCCCAAGGTCATCGAACTCATCGATCTCAACCAAAGCTGCCAGATGGACGTGTCATCAAAGTGGGGTCGGAGCGATTCGAAGCTCCGAGTGCATGTTCCAGCTCATTTAGTCGATGTGAGCAGCCTGGCATGGCGGGTATGTGAACTGCTTCATTGTTCCGACTCTACGACTGATTGCATGCAGAAATGCTATTCCAAACTATCCAGAATGCTGCAGTGATACTCGCGCTGAGTTGTACAAGCATATCGTGCTGTCGGGTGGTTCCAGCATGTATCCCGGCCTACCCAGTCGTCTGGAGAAGGAAATGAAGCAGCTCTATCTTACTCGGGTGCTGAATGGCGACCCTTCACGACTCAATGTTGGTTCCATCTCCATATTCTTTCGATGTAATTTGACATGGCTTCTAGAAATTCAAGATCCGGATTGAAGACCCGCCTCGACGGAAACACGCTGTTTTCCTTGGCGGAGCTGTTCTTGCTGACATCATGAAAAGCCGGGAAGACTTCTGGATTTCTCGGGAGGAGTGGTTCGAACAAGGTGTCCGTGCGATGGACAAGTTGGGTAGAGGAGACAATTGAGTGGTCCACACTTTGTATAACCAGTACAGTATCCGGAAGCAATTAAATAAAGTTCCTCTATCGGAGATCTATTTCACATCTATTCCGACCCCAAAACGAATCCCAAGAGATCATTTCAGGGCATTCAAATCCGATTCCACGGATGATGTCCTGTCCCTGGATTAGCCGCAGTTCTCGGCCCCGCATCCGCAGGCTCTTGCGCAGAGGAGCCGCAGCATCTTTCTCGTCGTCAGTGACTTGTCTTTCCTCCTCCGGAAGCGATGCAGCATGCTCATGCGTCAAGCGCAGCATCGCATGCGTCTTGGCTAAAGCATGCGATGCTGCACGCGACACAGCATCCGAGGCGCGTGAAACCTTTTGAGGCTCGAAATGGGCGAGCAGAAGGGCGGAGAACAGATCTCCCACCCCGGAAAAGTATCCCGGCAGTTGCTGCACGATTTGGGCGTGCACCACAGATGACTCTGCTGTGGCAGACGACGCAATGCAGAGGAGGTAGTTCAGGTCAGAATCGACGGCGGATGACAGTCTTGCGGGAAGGGCTGATTTGAGCCAGTCCGCGAGAGGAATGGAGCTGATCACCACGTTCGGCACTCGATATGTTTTGTGGAGAATGCGCAGAGCAGAACGCAGAGACTTGATATCCTTCAAGGGTGTGTCTGTCAGGTTCTAAAGTGATATGTTCAGTGTATCAGGGACAAGACACGACTCACTCGACTTCAAACCAGTTGGGAGTTATGATGGTAGACAGCGGTAAGATTCTACGGTAAATGGGAATGACATCGGCAGCAACATAAAGATGCCCCGAGTCTCCTAGAACCGCTAAGAATAGGCTTGAAAAAGTCTGTGATAATAGTGATGATAGCCATACGATCGAGCAGGTAGATAAGATCGGTCCTCTGCGTCTTGAGCTTTTCAACGAGATCGGCCACAGCGGAGATCCCTTCAGCACCCGGTACATAGCCTGAGATGGGTCTTCAACATTTGTTTCAAAGGATCAACAAAGTTCTTGGGACCTGTGAGTAGCCTGTCTGGCAGAAGAAGCTGATTCATCTCCATGCCCTGGAAGATTTGGTTCAACTCGGTTGCCGTGGTTCTTGTTCCCCCCAGGCGCCCATAACCTGCGAATGGCTCTCAGTCCCATACTACAAAAGTCTCCAGGTCGACAGACCAGAATGATTCGAGAAGTTGACCGTATTTACTACCTTTCAAACTTGTTAGATGGCATATGAGAGGTCTGGATCTCTCACATCAACGTCGTAGCCAAGACATTGCAGCGGGAAGACGGCAGCCTTGCCGCCAACGTAGCCAAATACGACATGTGACTGGATACTGAGAACTCGAGACCCCATTTTACGAGCGAAGGGTTCACAAAATGAGAGCACAAGACGAGTCACTGTCAGATTGCAGCTTGATCGGCTTGCGGATCCCGACCTCGTGACTGCTTACCGGGGATATTGTGCGTGGTGTGCCATTAACGCGTTCTTCAGTGCTCTGCTCTGCATTGCATTGGTTTCTCTACGCAACTCTCTTGACACAATCGAGCAACATGTCTGATGGCTCGAGGTGCGGGAGCTACTCTATATCGGCCCTATTGTCTCAATTTGTGTGCGCAGGCTAAGGCAGTCATGGTACGACGCCTTGAATGGCGCCGAAACGCATTTCCGTCAAATGCTCACCTCTTCCTCGTCTGCGGAATGGAAGAGAGTATCGGCCTCCACTGACACTTCGCCCTCGAAGAAGGGCAAAGCACGAGCTCCGTCTATCCCTGAGCCAAGCGACGTGATCATCCACCGGAACTCAAGTAAAGCAGGAGGGGACGTCTATCGTCTGGTCCTCGACGTCCCTACAGGCGACGAATACGTATCCCTCGAACCTTGGAAGGCTGTTTTGACTACGCCCGAACTGAGGACGGAATGGGATCCTGCGGTGGAGGAGGCGCATTTGGTGGAGATTTTTGATCATAACACACGCATATGCAAGACGAATTTTACGCTTGGTTGGCCTGCAAAGTGCGTCGCGACGTCTTTTCTCAGCGAATGAGATGCCTGACTGACAGGTTCGCCCAGTCCGCGCGACGCAGTGACCATCTCACGATCCTTCCATGACGCATCTACATTCATTGACATCTCAACCTCTTTGCCGCGGTCACCCGATGAACCTGCGTACCTCCGGCCATCGCCTCCGTATGTCAGGTCGCACGTTACGTGTGCGTGTCGCGGCTCTCTCGCATGTTTCCAGGTCACTGATGGAGCGCAGTATTCGCGTGGTGCATTCAGCACTTCGGCGCCGCCCCGCTTGTGGCACCTTCTACATCTGGTACCACCGACGTGGTGCAACGTAGGCGCACATCTGCGGGAGGCCGATTGCGGATTACTTGCTTCTGGCAGCACGACCTTCGCACGGCATGGACCATTGGCTCATCGGCCTCGGCGGCCATGCAGCAACTGTCTACCATGGCGCTCGGCTTGCTGAAGACCGTCATGAAGCGCGGAAATCGAATACCGAAGATCACAGGTTACGGGAATGGGGTTTCAATTGAACGAGTTCGATTTCAGAACGATCGAGAGGCGTTGACCATTGATTACGCCATCATTCCGGATGAGGACGAACCCTCTGCGGTGAACCACGGGATCGACGAGCTGCATGCGATTCGGGAGCATCGGCGCCTGAGGAGGTCGATTGAGTGTGTGCTACCTGCGAGTGAAGGATGGGACGTGCAGGTGTCGACGAAAGCGTCTTCCGAGGATGTGGAAAACCTTCCGTGGACCGCGCGTGCTATCCGCAGCAGCTCTTTTGCATCTCCCCCGACGCCAGAATCGGAAGAGTCGCGGCCTCTGGATCAAATCGTTGTTCGTTTGACGCACTCGCCGCTCATTGACGAGCACTCGGTACTCAAAGTTCGCGTCGTCGTGGAGATCTCTGGTCCCACAGCGGGCTTGAGATTGAACGGGCTCCCTCAGCCAATCCAAGAAGTGGAAGAACGTGACCCATCGTCATATTTCATCTCTCAGCAGATACTTCAGGATGTGTCTAGCACCGCGGATCTGAGCTTCAACACAGTGTCATCGCAAAGCAGCATGCATTCCAACAATTCAGGATCGATAGCTCCCAGACCACCGACAGAGCGATCGACCGCTGCAGAGAAATCGATACTATCCAGGGTCAAACGCAACTACATCTATTTCTCGTCGCTGTTACAGGAGCCCGAGGCGAAATGGAAGCGAAGTAGACTTGTCATGTCTTTCCGATTGCACTATTTTCTTACGTCTCGGCAGCTACCGAAGCCAAAGGAGTCTCAGTTACGCAACTCGATTCGATTGATCCTACTCTCGTTGTCTACCGTGCAGAAGCGACCTTTGTCGGGGTCCCGTTGTGGGATCTGTACTCTGCCGTCATTTCTCCTGGATCTCGTGTTTACTGGGACAAACAGCATGAAGACGCGATTTTACTCGAGGATGTCAATGATCTAACTGAATTATGGCACATCAAGACCAAACCAGCCTGGCCAGTCACGTACGTTAACATTTCATCTTTGTTTGTTTGAGTTCAATGGGCGTTGTCACAGTGGTCGTGATTCTGTGGTGCTCCGGACGGTGTACAAGTCACCCACAACAATACACGTCTTTTCTTTTTCCGCCGACGAACCACATCTCTTTCCCAACATTCCTCCTGTTGATCCGACTGTGATCCGAACACAAATTGATCTGCAGGGTTGGGCCATTGAAGCGCTCTCTCCGACCACGACATCGTTGACGCTGCTGGAGCAGTCCGACCCCAAGGGATGGACGAACAAAACATCTATCCCGACGATGATGATCAACACTCTAGCGGGAATCGGCGAGTTTGCGATCAAATGCGGAGGGCCACCTGTGGTGACGCGCTTGGCCGGAGCGAGGGCCAACGAGATGAGATATGACCACGAACGCTCCAGCTTCAAGCTCGAATACGAGGCGTCCACAAGCAGACAAGGTGGCGGTGGCTCTGAGGCTACGAGCAATTCGATCGGGTCCACTGGGATGCCGGTGATCGAGTGCGAGCTGAGGTGCGATATGGACACCTGGGCGCACTCACTGGACATAGTTGTGGATCCACCTCCTCAGTCTTTGTCTTGTCTTCGCAGACACCGCCTGTCGACCGAGGGTGGTGGGTTGTGGCTGAGCCTCACTCACGATGCGGTCTTCATTGACGATGAGCGGCTGCTGGTTTTGGTCCGCCGCGCCCCTGGCAAAGAAAAGGGTCTGGTGATGGTCAATGGGTCCAAAGTTTCTGTCGATGTGGACGAACTACCGGACAGTGAAATCAAGTCGCTCTCGAAGAGGAAACGAGTCAAGCCAACTCGCATACCACTCGATCAGCCGCCGGTTTTGGGTGTGGTCCGGCGGCGAAGAGCAGAGTGGGATGCGGACTCGGACGATGCTGCTGGTGCCGACTCCCAGACTCGGTCCAAGACAACTACTCCGCGAATATCCAGTCCGTTGTCGCGCTTTTTCACGTTTGCAGTGGACCAAGCGGCTGCTACGACCCAGCAGGCCGTCGCAGCGATTACGCCCGCAAATATCGAGGAGACAGTTCCGTCATCAAGCAAACAGCCGATGCAGTATGGGCTGGAAGCATTGACTTGGATGCAGCAATCCCGTTCTCGTGGCTCGGCCGAAGGCTGGACTTCGCTCAACGACAAGGCGCTCTCGGTCCATCGAAAACATTGTCCCGAGATATCACCGTCTATCCACGTTCACAAGGGCGAGAAGGTCATTCAGGGGGTTTCTGCCGACGAATTGGCCGCGATTGTATCCGAGTTTGACTGCCGGAGAAAGTGGGACGATCGATTCGACAATGCTACCGTTCTCGAGTCGTATGGAGCGGGGTGCCAGACGGCTTTCGCCGTGTCCAAAGCCGGGTTTCCTTTTCGGGACAGGGGCTTCTATCTGGCATCTGTCCTGGCGAGGACTCATGTGATATCAAGGAGGCCGACGGGGGATGTTGCCGAGCAGTCGAATGGACCGCGCAATGCGGTGTTTTACGTGTCTGCTTCCTTCAGCCCGGAATCCGCATCCGCGTTTTCCGCGGCAAAGTACAATCCTAATGGCTTGCCGATCGGACGGATATTCGTTGATGGCTGGGTTTTGGAGACCTTGGATCCCTATACGAAGGAGAACTACGCAATCCCCTCGACCCGCTGCACACGCTTTGTTGCCGTTGACTATGCGGGCTCCATCCCTGCTGCGTTCAACTCGATGAATAATGCAGCCGCAGCGCGATCGATTCTGGCCCTCGAGAGCTTCTTCAAGAGCATCTCCTCGCTTCCCGTTACTCGTCTTCCGCCTGCGGGGCTTGTCATTTCCGACAAGTTTGACACACACGAGTCCATAGCTGATCTCTCATGGAAAGTTCGACGGCGAGACGACCATCACTCTCTATTGAATACGACATTCGCACCCGAGAGTCGTGTCTATCAATCGACTATTTTGCTCAGCCTCAACTCTAGCGGTGTGCTGCCACCCAACATCTCTGATGTGACTCCTCGTCCGAGTACCTTCAACCTCGGTTCTCCCGATTCAATAGACGCACTTCCTAGCGGTGATTCGGGTCTATCGTCGGGTTCGCCAGTTCCACAATTGTCTCCCTCCTCGACCGTCACACCCTCCGGTTCGCCTCGCCAGCGGAGCGAGTCCAATGGTTCCAGCAGGAATCGGTCCGTCAGTGCCTTCACAATGAAAGGTGAAGTTCGCCAACCCTCAGATCTGCTTGTTGCGGAATTGGTCGTCGATTCGAAGTTGTACCCGGAGGGCTACAATGTCGTGCTGCGATCCCGCTTCCGGGTCGATCTTGTATCTGGGTCGCACATTCCTTTTGTCGTCGAGGATGAGGGCCCCGGCTCGACCGATGCGCTTCCTTTGGCAGCAACCATACATACCATGCCGTCTTCCCCGCTGCATTCTTCTGGTTTGACAGCCGACAGGCCGACGAGACATCTCATCAAGCTGACGCTCCCGACTGCGCAGTACCAAATCTCCACTGTCCGGGATCCGCTCACGGATGAGCTGCATGGAGCGCCGCCGAAGCCGCCATGGTTGCTGTCTCTGGAGGAGGGCGGCGCTATCGTGCAGATGGAGGTCCGCCCTGGCGGCAAACGCGGCTCGGTGCTGGTCGATGTAGATGGGAAAGAGATTGCAGTAGTCAACGAGAAGGAGGCGCTGACCAGTCTGGGTCGGGAGGAGCTGCTGGACGATCGAATCCCGAGGATGAGTGTGCTTTCGCGGTGAGCGTCGTGCTGTTGATTTGAGATTTGACGCTCAAGCATGGGCAGTGTCTCCAACGAGTCGGAGGTCCTCTCTGAACAGCTCAGGGTTCCCACAGCCGTCGCTGTCAAATTAATCGAAGCCCCTGCATTGGAAACGAGCCCTGTGGCTGACCCTGCACACTCGACAGATTCCGTGACTGCAAGCGACCAGGAAAAAAGCACAGAAACGGCTGGAATGGCGCGTTGATTGCTCATTAGTGTGCCCAAATGAAACTAAATTTATGGCAGGCTGTGACGGATGCTGTGGTCCCGGCACCGGTTTTGGCACACTCGTCGTCGAGCAGTGGTCTGCTGGGGTTTATGACCCGGCTGGGAACGAGCTCCGGGTCAGGAAGTGCGACTCCTCGGATTAGGAAGGTTCCGGGAGGATTGACCGATATTGACGCGCCGCATCCAGCGGCGGCATCGTCTGGAGTGCCGGTCTCGACCGTAGTCATCATTGCACTGATCGCATTCCTGATTGGCTCGCTCCTTCGGTCATTGCTCTCACCCGCTGACTTTATCTACCTCGTGAGAGAGCCTGGAGAAGACGAGGAAGCAAGAGGATGGCGCGAGATCCGTCGCCTGATAGAGCTCAAATATGTTGCCTGGGGGTATGATATTCACCTCGCCCTCGTCCGCAGACATGGTGGGCTCGAGTAGTACTAGATATTTTCCATAATCGACTGGTGAAACGAAGCTTCAAGAGTTTGTGATCAGTATTGTTTGTTTGTTACAACTGTCTGTCGTCCACTTGTCAGACCCGAGAGCATTCTGATTTTCAATTCCCCAATCTACCCCCTTCCCTTTCCTCTTGTACTTTATCTCCCTTCTCCACTGGTCCCCCCGGGAACTAGAACGTGTCGACACGGCAAGACACTGGCCGAGCCTGGGATAGGTCTGGGTATATCGCCCTCTGACACCTGTCTCCACACCTGCTCCGTTTTTCTCGTAGACGCGCCATCGTCTCTTGCCTCAAGCCACCATTATGGCAAATGTCGCGCCTCCAGCTGCCATGCAGCCCTCGCAGCAACCGCAGGACACGCCAGCACCTCCATCAAGCCCGTCGTGGGACGGCGACAAGATGTGCGTGATGCCTTTACCCACACTCTCGACTCCCTCGCTGATACGCTTTGCGTTAGGTTCAACATCTACATCTACGACTATTGTCACAAGAGAGGCTTCCGCAAAACGGCCCAGGAGTTGGTCCGTGAGGCTGAGCTCCCGAGCGAGTCCGCTCCCCCGATCGACGCACCGCAGGGTCTTCTCTTCGAGTGAGTCTCGCTTGCTGTGCTTCATCATACTTTCTCCCCTCCTGACTTCCTCGGCTCAACGACTCTGACAGATGGTGGAGTGTCTTCTGGGTTTTGTTCACGGCGAAGGCGAATGGGACCGGTACGGAGGACGCCATGCTGTATACTCAGGTGCGTCGTCGACGCCACCCTCCCGTTTCCCGCGCTGATGTAGGGCTCTGCCTTCATCCCATCTTTCTCCGCCTTCCACCTCCCACCTTCCTCCCGCTCTTCCCCTCGATGTCACACAACGCAGCATCAAATGAATCAAGCCCAGTTGAAAGCCCGCACGGCTCAGCAACAGCAGCAGCAGCAGCAGCAACAACAACAACAACAGATGCCGATGGGGGGCATGCCTCCTCAACCCTCTCAAATGGCCGGCAATCGCGCACCAGTACCAGGGCAGGGACCACCCGGACCTCCCAATATGAACGGAATGGGCGTGCAGCCGCGCGGACAGATGCCCACGGGCTTCCCTCCGAACGGGCATGCGCCAATGGCGAACGGACTTCCTGGAGGCCAGCCGTCCGGTATCGGTCCAGGCCCCGGCTTCCCTGGTGGCCACCCGAACGCGATGATGAACGGGATCCCTCCACCAGCGATGAGTGGTGGCCCTGGCGGGCAGCAAGGGTTCATGCCCCGACCGCCTATGCAGGGTCCCCCGCGGCCTCAGAATGGGATCGGGGTTGGCGGCCCACCCTTTCAATCGCCCACCATGGCACATTCTCCGCCCCAGACGGGTCCAGGTGGTCAGCCGCCGCAGCCGCAGAATGTTGCTCCGCCGATGAGTCAGCTGGGACCCCCGCGGGGAGGCATGCTTCCTCCGGGCCAGCAACCTGGGATGATGGGCAGCGGGCAGCAAACGCCCCAGCCGTATCCGCCAATCGGCGCATCAGGGCGACCACCGAGCAGGACGAGCACCCCCATGATCAGCGCCAGCCCTTTAATGGCCAACCGGCCCCCCCAGATGCTTCCCCTCGATGTGCGACAGCAGGATATGCTCCTCAACAACGAGATGCAGACGATTCCTCCAGGGCTGCTCGGCCAACTGAAAGCCGAGTTGAATTTCGGTGATCGCAATGCGCAATCGCTGTCTATCAATGAGAAGGTGTGTTCGATTGAACAGCAAGTTTGCTCGATGAGGACTGATGTCGACTTAGCAACGGATCCTGACACTAGCAAGGCAGAAAAAGATGGGGTCGACACCCAATGCAGCAGCAGGTCCATCTGCACCTGCACAGCGGAGGAACAACAACAAGCGGAATAGCACATCGCCCGGTGAAGAGGTATGACGAGCTTTCAATGGTTTATATGGAATCATTTGAATAACGACAGACGGAGCCTCTTCAGTTGGATGATGGAATGCCGCGAAATGGATCCTCTCCGCCCGACCGGAAACGTATGCGACGATCACCTACGGATCCAGCAACAGGAACAGGAGGCGTGCAGATACCTCCGGGATACACTCATCCTGGAGGTCAACAAGCCCCTGGGGCGATGGTTATGAACGGAGGAGGCATGATGCGACCCAATTCGATGGCGAACGGATTCCAGCCTGGCATGAATGGGCCGGGATCAGCCCCGATGGGGATGTTAGGCATGAATCCCATGGCGCCGAACGGCATGCCGTCGAATGGGGGCATGCCACCGAACGTGATGGCGCCCGGCATGCCGAATACGATAAGTCCCCAGATGCATCCCCAAACCATGGTTCGTGCCTATCGATTCCAGGTGCAATCGCTGATGTCACGCAGTACCGGCAACAGGGCATGCCGAACATGCCGAACCGAATGCCGGGAGGAATAAATACCGGCTCTCCTGGCCCTGAGCCTGGCTTTAATCCGGGGATGGGAATGCCTCCTGGGGTGCCGATGCCTCCACAACCAGGAGCAGGCGGTCAATTTGCCCCTGGAGCGCGTCTGACTGGGCCACCGAACGCAAAAGCGATGTCCATGCTCCCTCCGCCGTCACCAGCAAAAGATCAAAACGCGACATTGAAGCAAGAGTCGAAACCCAATGGGCATCCGGAGGGTTCGCCTCGCAACCAGCCGCTGACGGGTCCTGGTCCTCCAACCGCTGGGCCAGCGCCGGGGCCAGGCAATGTTCCTGGGACCAGCATGGCACCTTCACCGGGGATGATGATGAATGCGACTGCGACAGACACACTGTTCAGCAACGACTTCATGCAGAGCGTGGCTAGCGAGCTGGACGAATTCGACGTCGGCATCTTCCGCAACGACGGAGACCTCAATTTCGAGAGGGATTTTGGGCAATGGTTCAACCCAGATGATTTAAGTGGGGGGATGGATCTGAGCAAGCAATGAAACAACTGATCTCTTTGCCCAAATCCCTGGCTCTGCTTTTGTTTCTGCTGTGTCTCATGCCTGTTCTTCGCCCCCGGTCCATCTAGATGATCGTTTGTATTGCTCGTCTCTCAGTTTTGTCGCTGTCCTGTCTCTCGTAGCCTATGCTTCGCTAGCCATCTCATTCTTTCCTTGGTATCCTTTCTCGTCATTTTTTTTTTTGCTCTGCTGCCTCCTTTTTGAACGTTACCCCCTCGCTGCCGCTCTCGGTTGTTATAATAGGTCTTGTCATTGTACTTACATTGTTGAAACATAGCTGGATGGAAAGCACTCCCAGTCGGGCCGGGATGAGATGTGTTTATTTTCCGATTCTACATTGGAAATTATCATACAGGTGAGGAAGATACAGGTAGCGCGTGATCGTATCGGCGTCGTATAGATGAAGCAAAATTAGTCCGTCAAGCAAATGGGGCGGCGCTGCTCTCAGGCAGGCCGAACGGTCGCATCAGTGGACTCTTGTGTGTGGTCAGAGGTCGTTGCCGCAGGCGTGTCGGGTTGTTCAGCAGTCGCAAATGTCTGCAGTGACATGTCGCTGGCACGGGACTCGGAACGGGATTCGGTCCGGGAGGGCACGGTCAATGCGACCTCCTCAGCGTCGTCTTCGACCGACGGCCCGGCGACGGGGAGTTGGTCTTCCCAAGCAGGCGGCGGCACTCCTTCCAATTCCAGATCGAGGCGACTGGAGCTGGCGTAGGCCGTGGCAGCATCTCCAAACGGCATGCCAAATTTGGCCAATCCTCCTTCTTTCGTCCCGCTGATCATTTTGAGTTGGTCAGGTGTCAGACCGCCCCGTGGCAAGGCGCTGAATTCCGTTTTGACCAGCGTATGTGACAGGGGCGCAGAGATGGATGCGAGAGAGATCATCGAGGGCGATGTCAGATTGGCGCCCGAGAGAGACGTGACCGATTTGTTGCGCCGCAGGGAGAAGAGCGTGGACGTCGATGTCGACGGACGGTGGCGTGACGCTGTTGGCTCAGGCGACGATGCGCCCAGCCTGGTCGTCGAGCGCGTCCGCGTGTGTGTCAACGAGAGCGGCTCGTCTGTAGGGGGTACAGGAACGACCAGTGGCGCTGGACGGAACATCGCAAAGAAACCGGACCGCCGTTGGACCGATGGCGAAAGTTCGGCTTGGGGAGGCGCGACAGAAATACCAGGGGATCCAATACCGGGCGGGTATTCTTCAGAGTACGCCGGAGCTTCACCCCGCAGATCCTGCACGTCCGTCCCAAGCAAAGGGCTGTCGTGCGGAGGATGGGGCATGTCCGTGTATCGTGAGTTGTCTAGAGTCGAACGGCGGGGAGCAGCTCCGTCTTCGTGGTCTTCGTTAGATTCGTCCTCTTCCTCCTCGTCTACAGAGGCAGTGGGCATAGGGACATCTTCGCCGTCCGGTCCTCTCGTTACGACCAGTTCCTGTTCGCCGGGTTCTTTCATGTAAGCGGGCAAAGAGACCGTGCTGATCTGGGACGGCGTTCGTCGCGGACGACGCGGACGACGCGGCGGAGCACCGGGCGCGTGATTAATACTCCCGACCAGCTGCTCCGCAGTAATCTCTCGGCGGGCTGTGGTCGCAGTGGCGTCGCCCCCAGCGCCCCTCCCGAGCGACATTATACGTGCGCGGTAAGTTTTCCTTGAGCACACTATAATAGACAGCACGACCAGGATGCCGAGGACGACCGCAACAGGTATCTGCGCGAAACGTGAACAAAGAAGGGCGGGGAAAGGGGACTGGCGCTGACCCATGTGGACAGAGATGCATGACCGGATGAGGAGTTTCCGGTTCCTAACGCCCTTGGAATGAACATGTCGAGCAGCGAAGGTAAGAGGGAGATGCTGGCTCCGTGCAAGTCGTTTCTCGTGTCCAAAAGGCGGTGTCCTGGTGCCGATCGTCTTGGGTGCTTACGCGCATTATCCGAGTCAGCTAGTTAGTCGTCCATAATTGCGTTGCTCCGGAAGGCTCATGCCGCTGGGCTCGCTGCTTCCGATTGGCACAACCGGCGTTTTTTGAGCGCCACCCTCTTCTCGGTGCATCGCCCTTTGAAGCTGGAACTTGTGAACGGGATATCATACTTTGCGTACTCATCGGCTCAGGAGGTTCTAATTGATAGCGATTAATTTGAAGCCCCGTGGTCTCGGCGAGCGAGCGAGCGACATCGGATTGCTTCTGGGCCAGGCAGACATCGCATCGAGATAAAGAGATGGAAAGAAAACTGCATGGTTGCTGGTGCTACAGTATATTTTTGACTCCGCGCAAGGAGAACCGGGGTAAGTTGATAGGTACATATATACACTGCACAGATGAAGTCCGTTTCTTTGTTTTTGTGTTTTAAACGGCAACCAGATCCATCCGACCGAGAGATCCAAGGATATCGATGTAGCTGTTGTCGTCGAGAGGCCCTGAAGAACGAATGTGGGGAGGAAGGAGAGAAAAGCAAAGGGGTGAGAGTGGTTGGTATGTTGGAATTCTAGGCGCGTAGAACAAGAAGGTGGTGATCCAGGAGTACAGCCGCAAGAGCGTAGTGGAGAGTGAACGTACAAGAGGAAAACAGGACGAGAGCAGATCAGAAAACAAAAGATTGAGGGCACCAGGCTCAAGGGCCTGGACCCCATTTTAGGCTTAGCGATTAAGAGCGCCACCTGGCGCAGTCCTCTGCGAGCCGGAAATATTGCCCATGCGGCTCACTCCAACATGGGCCATGCCGCTTCCGCTTCTGGGCCGCCCGCTCGAGCTTCCAGACCATGGCCCGAGACCAGAGCCCCCGGTGTGCATGTTGTACGCACCGCCGCCGAGAGGGGCACTATCGCTCCGAGCCCGGCTGGCTCTGGGCTTCGGAGGAGACAACGAATCCATCGAGTTGGCATGGTGGGGATGGGGGCTGGCTGTGTTCGAGCCATTCATACCCGAATGCTGCTGTCCGCTCATTCCCAGTCCGGAAACATTGACACTCATGGATCCCATCCCAGCTTCATCTGCAGACATCATCCGCTGTCTCTTCCGTCCGCTCTCCCCGTGACCGTCGCCGCGGTCATCAAACTCAACATCAACTGACATGCTCATCTCACTGGGAGATGCCGGCAGCGGAGAATTGTCACCAGCAGACCCGGAGGATCGGAAGAGATGCGGGAAGGAAGATTGTCTCGACAGGTGGGGAGTCGGAAGCGAATGGGAATGGCTCGGGGTTTGCACCGAATGCGATAAAGAATGCGAGTGAGAGTGCGGATGCGGATGGGAATGCGGATGGGAATGCGCTGAGGGCTGGTATTCAGTCGCCGGGGGACTGGCGTCATAACCAGTTCTCGGAGAGGTCACGAAGATGTTGGGCTCAAGCATCTCCATCGGGAATTGAGGAACTGGCGCGATTCGTTTGATATAGAACAAGAAAGAGGGGACCTGGACGTACCTGTCCCGGGCGCAAATCCTTTCCCAACGATATCCCACAATTTGCCGACGACACTAATAAGCCGCTCTACGCGTCGCCGCTCGGTGTTCAGTTGTTCCCACATGCGCTGGTTATCTTCCCTCATAGAGGACAGCTGAGCGGCCACCTGCCATTCAGAAAGTAAGCTCAATTGCCGACAGGTGCTGAAGAACAAACCTCGCCAGGCAACTCCACGCGATGTTTCTGAGCAGGATCAGGCTCAAGCGCTTTGCGTTTTATCTCATCCAAAAGATCCGGACGGCCACGCAGGAACTGGGACAGCGATGATCGGAACAAGATAGGACGCGCACAAGGCACTACACACCTTGTGGTGAGAAAACTCCCACGTTTGAGCATCCGACGTCGTCCGCTGCGCCCTCGGGGTGCGATTGATCTTGTGAAAGCCATACATATTCAGCTGGCGCACGAACGACGAAAACTGAAGGGAACGTTCAGCATCAATAAGATTTCCCGTCGCAGAGAGTCCCTCACGTTGTTATGCTTGAAGTGACTGCCCAAGATGCTCCGACTAAACTCCCCGACGTTGCTCACGACGAAGGAAGTCCCCAGCTCGGTCCACGCAATGAAATGCGCCGATTTTTGGTCGTTGATCATTTGATACAACTTGGTCACAAAGTTGTTGGTGGCCAACGGTTTCCCCAAGATGCCCATGGCCGGCACCAGGCTGGGGACGATGATTTTGCCGCCGCCGGCAGAGGAATGGGGCATAGAAGACATGGACTGCGGTCCCCCGGAGAGCATTGCTTCCTCCCCACTCGAACCAGACCCATCGATCGGTGAAGACGTCGCATCATAAGCAGACACGAGTCCGAGATCCATGTCATCGTAGCTGGCGCTCGTCGGGTGCGCGCTCGCGACGGTCGGCGACGACGCGCGTAAACTCTCCGTATCTGTCGTGATGCGTAGCGACGGGGGTGCAGGCGGCCCGGAAATGCTGATACTGCTACTGGGGGTGTGCGACCGCGATGTTGACATCGGCCCAGGCCCGGGGTCAGCGGAAAAAGACCGCTTGCGGGGCAGCGTGGAAGTCGTCGAGTGCGGCGAGGAAGGGACGTTGACACCCACCCCTTCGTACCCCGCGTTCGACTCGTGCTCGTACGGGTGTCCGTGATTATGGCCGTCCGGCGCGTCTGATGGCGGCACGAACTGGTAGGGATGGAGGTGGTGGCCATGTGTGTATGTCGCTGGACTGATGGGTGTTCCACTGCTCAGCGCTGACGTCGCCCCGGAAGAGGGAACAATCGGACTCAGCGCGGTCGGTGACGCGACGGACAGCGAGGACAGGTTGAGCGATAGTGAGGAGGACGTTCTATGGAGCGACGTCGCTACACCGGGGGAGATATTTGGGCTCTGTAAACCAGGGCTGTTTAACCCGCTCTGGAGCCCGCTCGACTGGATCCCGCCAGACTGAAGACCCGATTGTTGTTGGACAGCGCCCGACGAAAGACCGGACTGCTGGAAACCGGGGTAGTAGTTTGGCTGCGGCGGCGAAGGCTGGGTTTGGCCTTGCCAGCGCTGGCTGTATTCGTAGTCCATGTCAGCCGCAGAGCAGGGGAGCAGTATGGTAGCGTTGCGTTCAGACAGGACCAAGCCCAAATCTAATCGCGCTAACAAGTTGCTTCCGTTGATTCTCACGGTCGCATCTCGAACCTCTCTTCTTGTTTTCGTTTGATACGTGCTGTCCTCTTCCGCAGGGCTTCTTTCAACATCCTTTCTCCGTCCATCCGTTCTGCTCTGTCGAAAATGGCTGCTTTTCGCGACCGGCCTTTTTTTTTACTTTCAGCTGCCGTCATCTTTCTGATCGCCGTCCGGCATCTGCCAGCAAAACGGACCGGGAGCGCCCGAGTCCCGAGATTCCCCCCCGCAGCCGCTTTCCACCCGATGCTCATGCTTTGCTCCCGAGCAGTCCTCCAGCTAGTCCACATCCTGGACTATCCACACTATGAATTTTGATAAACGGCGCTATGCCGGATTCTAAGACGCCACCTCTGGCCGAGCAGAGCCTACATATCAGACCGAGATCGGTCTACGCATGTGATTCGTGAGAGTAAATATCCTCGTGTCCGGGGCATGGCGCATCGGCAAACAACATTATCTGCGACCGGGCGGCCGACTCGATCGCGACTTGCGAGTGCTATGTCGAGAACGGACAGTGCCAGCTTGGTTTCTGCACATGCATTCCAGAAGTCAGTCAGTCATGGATTGTACACTCACAAATGTCAATTCCACGTCGCTCCCGCTCTCGAGAACGCGTCGACACCTGACAAGTGCATGTTTAATTCCGCCTGAACTGCGGAATGCACTGGCGAGTGGCTGATCACAATGCCCTTATCTTTGCACACTACCAGATCACATGAGCGGCGGCGGCCTAAGAAACCACACGAAGCACATTGTCATGCACAGATGTAATTATTGTGATTATTCAACTAATGCTAATGAGGGGACGCAGGCCAGAAAAACATCTCTGTAATCTGCCGCATACTCGAATTGATAAGGGAATGCAGACTTGGACAAATTCAACGAATTCAGGGTCCATTGGGTATACCGACGCTGCTCCATCTGCATCAAGAAAGCACCCTGCAAGCGACGGTCAGCCAAAGATGACACTCAATCGAGTACATAACACTCACAATCTGACTCTCATCCTGCTCGACACTGTCGTAGTACAGAGGAAGATCGCCTTCACTGCTGACTACGTCACGCACGAGCAACTCGAGGCGCTGCAGCGATGGCAACTTCTCGGCGAGAAGATCCACCAGCTCAGGACTGAGCGTAACGGTCCCGAGCCGAAGTATCTCCAACCGAGCACCGCCACGACCTGCACGCCGCATCGCCTTGAGCAAGTCATCGACACAGTCGTAGGTGAGATGCCTCCCAGTGAGCATCAGCGAACGAAGTGTATGTGCAAATCGTCCCAGACACATCACAGCAGTCTCCACAGAGAGCAGGCCCAGACCGACTTCCAGAGTGCGCAGTTTCGTAGGGCCACTGATGTAAGATAATGCGTCGTTCATCCACTCGGAAAGGGGATCTTCAGCGAGCGTGAGACCGTCACCATTCAATTCCGAACCGCGAAGAACTAGGTGACGCAAGAAAAAGCGTTGCCGATCCAAAAAGTTCCCCAGGCCAGATGGGTGGCCCAGATGCGGACGGGCGAGGGGAATCGAGACGTTCAAGTCCTTCAAATGAGGCAGGCTTTCGAGAGTGTCGAAAAGCGGTGTCATGTCATACGGTTGACATAAGCGGAGAGAGAGCTTGCGCAAGGATGCACGTATCCGGTTGATCGCGGGAGCCAAATGGCCGACGAGAATCCGATCGTATGTCTCCGCCGACAAGGTGTGATCGAGTCGGATCAGCAGGTTCAACTCCTCCAGTTTCTCGAGCCGTGAAGAATATGCAAGGAGATCGACAGTCTTCTCTAGTGAGATCTCGAGGCTCAGTCGGCGAACTGAAGGCTGGAAACCCGCTACGAGGAAAGGAACAGGAACGTCATGGATGGCATGCAGGCCGCTCCACGCAATGTGGTAATGTGTTACGTTCGGTAGGCCTAGAATGACCTCGACCATGGTCCGCACGAGCTCTTGTGGCGTGGATAGCCCAAGCATAGCTGGAGCCCGGGCATGACATCGCGGTAGTCGTTTCTGTTCGCGAAACAGGTGTGCAAGTTTGAATTTACCCCGGAACGAATGGTGATGGGGTGGAGGGAAAGCAAGTTCGTGAGACTTTTCGAGGACCTGCTTGACGAAGTAGGGATGAATATGTAGTGTACGGACACGGCGCGCCACCAGAGGATCCCTAAGCACACAGAGAGGAGATGAGTTGTACATTCGTCGAGCACGGGTATTGCGCACCGTAGTCGACTCAGATCTCGTACCATCCCACGATTCACGAATGAAAAGCTGATCTGTCGGTAGCGAGCATCCATCGCGATGTCGAACCATTGACTGTTAACGGCGTAGAGTTCAGAAACAGTCTGCGCCGGAAGATGCTCTGCGACGAGCAACCAAATCTCGGAGGGCACAGCGAGGGATGTCATGGGGGGAAGAGATGAAGACGACAAGTCAAGGAGTTGCGTGGCACAACAATTAGTAGCTTTTCCGCGACAGAGTTCATCGCCTGCTGTAAATGCATCTGTCATCGGGTGAGATGTCAAAGCACGCCCGATCAAGGAGTGATGCAATTTGACCGGATTTAGAGTTCATTCCGGCCCGGATGAGTGCCGCATCTCTCCATATGCGGAAATCGAGCGGCACTGCTCCTCCCTCATGAAAGCGGCGAGGCATTTTGAAGTGACATCCTCCTCGCCCTAACTGCAGCCCTCTGAGGAATGAAACAGAGGGGGTGGTGAATAGGCGTTACTTTTTTCATGCGCACCTCATGGGTATGTGGAGTCAATTTGAATAAACATGTCCATGTTATTATTAATCCTTCCCAGACTGTAAAAATATTTGGCTCCGCGGCGGACATAAACGCGACGTGACGGCCCCCGTGATGTGACTTGACAGTGCTTGGCCGTGTCCGCGTCCGCGTCTCAGAACAAGCGGTCAACCTCCCCTAATCATCAAACCAATGGCGCCCTCATTGGAAGTCGCACCCATACCTCAATCTGGTCTTCCTCAGTCGTCTCCCAATCTCATGCCCTTTCATGTCGAGCACAACGGCGCAGCAGCCATATCTACCTACATGCCAATTGAAGCTGCTCCAGACAACGTAGCTAAACCAGCGGCAACTACGCCTGACGCTGAAACACCAGAAATCGCGGGTTCTCGGCCAGAGGACACACCCATGCCTCTAGAAACAATACCTACGCCGGACACAGCGACTCGTTTCATGACGTCTTTCCGAGGACGAACTATGCACGGCCTGAAGGTACCGCTTCCACAGGGATATACCGGTCTTTTGCTCAATGGCGACGGCGTTCTGAGCTCCGGGATCAAACCCAGCAAGTCAGGCGTCAAGATCAAGCCTAAGACGACGGGACGAAGCTCGCGGAGTGTCACTCGTGCCGACGATGTCGAGATGGACAGTGATCAACCCTCAACAACAACACGGACTCTGCTGCCCGTGTCTGAATTCTCATCTTTTGTTCTGTGGCAACCAGACATCCCTGTGGACGTTGGGAGAGATGAATATGCACGATCGCTAACGGAGTGGGTGACGCTAGCCAATGAAGTACGCACATCTCGCTGGCTTTCTTAGCCTTTCTATCCCTAATCACTCTGCACTCAGATTCACAAAATCGAATGATGCTCACGTTCGCGACGATGGGCAGGCTTCTGCAGGCTTCTGCTTGACATGTGTATGACAGACGCTGTGTTTTACTTTCGCAGCTTTCGTTTGCTTTCTTACAGTGCTACTGTCAGTACATCAGTAAGTCTACTAAACGTAACCTTTTGAGGTGCAAACTTCAGTACCCTGTTGTGATGTCTTGCCTACGTAAATTCGGTTTTTCTTCTCTATGACAATCATCCTGTTTGGCTTGGCAATGTAGTTCTGTGGCAGTGCCCAGGAGACTTGTAACAAAACAATGTCACAACGCATCCCCCCTTCCCAACCACTCGACGGAAATCTTTGTTCCTTCATTTATATTACCTGACGCTCGTTATTTCCACAAAGACTCCTCGTAGGTTCTCCTTATGATTCATTTCTATCTACTTAACGTGGGTGCAGCCACCACTCATGTTTTCCACCATCGTTTTCGCCACCGTCCTCGCCGGCGCTCAGCTTGCACACGCAATTGTGGGACCCAATGAGCCAGCTCCAGGCGATACGTTCAACCAAGGCACCAACTGTTCTTTCGCTTGGAGTGCCGATGATTCAGGGACCACTGCTTGGAAGGGAATGGCTGTGGAACTGATGACTGGAAGCAACGAACAGATGGTTCACCTGACCAGTAAGAGTGCCAGCACCGCACTGCAGAACACTCCTTCTGAATCCTCCTCCCAGCTGTCGCTCAAGGCCTTGACGGCTCAGTCGCTGGCAGTTTCTCCTATGCCTGTCCTGACGTGACCCCGAACTCCCCCATCTACTTTTACCAGTTCACGTCTGGCGGAACCCCCAACGTGACCTGGACTGGGCGGTTCACGATTGCTGGCACAGACGGATCGAGCACCGCGGCCCTCCAGACCGAGCAGTCCGCCGGCACGACTGTGCACTGGGGCACTGGTGCTCTCACTGACCCGTCGATCGCCATCGCTGCTCCTTCTTTCGGATCGGCGTCCGCTGCAGCTTCCAATTCCGCTGCAGTCCCCGCCGCATCTGCTTCTGTGGCGGCTTCGTCCGTCGCCCCCTCTGTCGCGCCCTCGACCTCCCCTGCTGCGAGCAAAGCTGCTGCTGCTTCTCCCAGTCTCACTCGTTCCGTACTTGCAGCGTCGGCCCCCGCATCCACATCTTCGGCTGCGCCGCAATCCTCCGGTTCCAGCGCTGCTCTTGCCATGGGTCCCATGGCTGCTTCCACACTCGCGTGGCCGCTCGCTGCAGGACTGGCTACTTTTGCTGCGGCATTCACGATCATCCTCTAATGACTTGGGGGAGCGCAGTAGTAGCTTTTCGGACACCTTCATGGGCATATAGGAATTCCTGGCATTAAATTATTTCACTGTGATCGTATTGTGTGGCAATGCGGTCACGTACATACAGTGCACAAAAAAAATGACGTCCCAGTTACCGCGGTGGACATTGATGACTCGGGTAGCGAATCAGCTCGTCTAATAGGATTGCGACTTGTTTTCGAGCTTGTGTCTTCTCCTCATGGATCGTCTTAAGTTCTGCATCTCGGCGATGCGCGATTTGGGCCTCGTCCGACAGCAACAGAAGCAGTTTCATGGAGTGGGTGATCGAGAGTAATGAGTTTGCAGCTCGAACCTAGAAGGCGATCAGATATATCGTGTTGTGGAAGCGTTGTGGGTGGGTATACCATCGATTCAGCACGCGACTGAGCTTGGAACGATTCCTGCGCTATCCTAAACTTGTCCTTGTCCTCGATGGATGCCAGACCGACGAGGTCGACCATGCCGTCGAGTAGAGTCTCGACCTCAGAATCAACCTTCTTGTTCCATTCCTCCTCGATAGCGTCCAGGTACTCGGCAGAGTTTTGGTCAATGTGGGCCTGGAGAGCGGCGTCGCGTTGAAATAGATTGGCGGTGGGAAGTGCAGAGGGCCTGGAAACATCGCTCTGAGGCTCAGTCATGGCGGTTGAAGTCGAATGCAAGTTGATTGACAGGCGTGCTACATAAATAATCTAATCTCTAACTACATAATTTTGATCGGACGCGTGGTTTGTGCCTTGGTCTTGTTCTCCAACCCCCGGGTCATTCAGTTACCCCCCACGCGTTTTCTTTCCCATTGAGTCTCAAAGAATACACCTACACCCATCTGGGGATGGAAGCACGCTCGATCTCCCCACGACGCGTCCAGTTTCACACGGGCATCCAGAAAGAAGTCCCAACCTCGAGTCGTTCCTAGGAGCACGATTCGCCGGTCGCCATATCAGAAACGCCGCACTGTCCAATGTCTTGCCAAAGCTTCCTCGATAGATAGTGACGGGTGCGTCCAGACTGCGACTCTCCGTCGTTTGCGGGGGGCTTTATGCAAAGTTGAGTCATGTAAACGAGATGGTGAGCACTCCGCAGACTCACCACGCATTCTCTGCAATGCCTTCACGATCACTCACCACATCAATGCAGCGGGGTTTGGGAGGATAAAGTCGACGGAAGAGAACTTTCTGAGGGAAAGAGCCGCCGGCGACGTGCGTTGAGAAAACCCATTCTCGTCACGTACACCGCGATGCGTTACGTCCCTGCCGTTTGCCACTCCAGTGACCATCGTCTTCTAGCTCGCTTCCGGTTCATGCAAACTTTTCCTCTAAAATATATTCGGACAAGTCCGATGGAGGAGAAGAACTCGGATGAAACATCTCTGAAGCATACTTCGTGGGCGATCCGGCCCTACCGCAAGCACTCGGGCGCTGTTTAATTCAGTCCGACTCGTACATACTCTTTACCTCAACGCCGTACCTATGTCAACCACAACATGCTAAACCCGAGGCACATGCTCGATATGCTCCGGTGCCGTTAGGCTGTCGCGGATCGTATCTCCTTTCTCCCGGGCCTCTACCAGAACCAGAACCCCATTGTCGTTCAAGAAAGGATTAAGATTCGAATTCGAACTGCGCCTTTTCGAAGCACCCACGCGCGCTCCTTGAAAAGCCGTGTTTCTTCACCAAACTGTTCTCTCTCTCCTTTGGGCTGCTCTTCTCTGCCTTAAAGAATCGACGCGTCGACCTGCAATTCATTCAATTGAGTTTCACACCTCGTCGCTTCGCCCCACTCGCTTGTGCTCCCTGCCATGTCCCTGCCTGCTACTAGCCATCTCTTGGACAAAACGTCGGCGTTCACCTCACGCGTCGCTCTATCTGTTTTGAACACTCTTTTCAGTCTCGGCGTCGGATTCATCGGCGTTGTCGTTGCCGCTGGGTGCGCGTCCATTCTTCCCTCGTCGTCTCAGTATTAACACGACTCCTATGATAGACTGTACGGAGGTCTGCCTGACTCTTCCAACTTGTCGGACCGCTCCTCTGAACACCCTGCTAGTCTCCTGCGTCCAGACCTGGTGGTACTACACGCACCAAACTGACCGATGGCCGCTGAAAAGCCTCGTTCGTCATGTTCGCGCGTTCTCTGTCTACTCTGGCATTTACTCGTTCGGTTAGGTTGCGCTGGTCATGATATTCGACACTATACACCAGGCTCTCATATCTCATACTGGTGCGCCCATAGCTCGCGCTTGCTTGCTTCATGACGAATTTCTAACCCTATGGCAGTGTATACTTATCTTGTGACGAATTATTCGAACAGTCCGTTTCTTGGTCAGATCGTTTGGTGCGTATTGGCTATAGTACCAATCATATAAAATTCATCTGTTCTTGTAGGAGTTTGCTGGTGAGATCTGGTTATGCGGCGTGATCACTCTCTCTAAACCTATTGCGCGTGCAGATTGAAGTGCTTTTTAACGTTCGTTTCCCTGTGCGCGTTTCTTCAGAAGAGCTGACGATGATCTAGGGCTTGACGGCATTGCTAGTGCAATGGTCCGCCTTTTCTTTTCCCTGTCGGTGTCATTCTAATACTCGGATCAGTTTCTTGACTCATCGAATCTGGCGCTGTGTGTTATTTGTCGCTTATCTCGCACCATTTCTCATCTACAACGCAGTGAGCAACGGCAACATATGGTTTACTGCCACCGCTGTATGTTTATTCTGCTCGCTTGTTGGTTCAAGCTCACGGTGCCATGCTCAGATGATTCTCGTATTGGGAGAATTCGGTACGGAAGGTTCTTCTAAGAGCGCTCTTTCTCAACGCTCATGATTTTCCTCGCTTCTTGCAGGCTGTGTCCTTGGTTCGTGCATCTCTTCTTGACCCTACTTAGTGGTCTTGAATCCTTCGTTCCTATTCTAGCCTACGTCATCTTGTCGTGCGTGCCAGGAACTCCTCTACCCGCGGCGCTATTCCTGATCAGCTTCCTGCCAGAATGCAACTGGAGACGTTCGCTCAACTTACTCAACTGAAGGTCGGTGTGCGCCGTGTTTATCTCGAAAGCATGCGATCCTATAATCTCTCCTAGACACTTTCGATCATGGTCAACACGTTGGCTGCAGCCGGCGATGTCTTCATCGCTGCCACGCTCTGCACGCTGTTGCATCGATCTCGCACCGGCTTCCATCGGTTGTTCCCTCCGTCTGCTGCTGCTGCCCTGTTTCCGCTAACCAACCCGCGATAGTTCCGACACTATGATCAAGAAGCTGGTGAGTCTGCTCGCCTACCAGCGGTACCTCAGACTGACTGACATCCGCTCCCTTAGATCATGTTTGCAGTCAATACCGGCCTGGTCACTAGGTGCGTTCGTATCGGGGTCTGTTGTGAGAACCCCGTGCTCATGGGACATGGGTAATCAGCCTATGCGCCATTGCGTCGCTCATTTCTGTAAGCATCTCTTCTCGACTGCTTGGCCTATGGCTCAGTTCCATCTCAAAGACCGTTGTCGCCGGGAACACGTTCATTTACATCCTGTTCTTCTTCTGCATGGGCCGACGTGAGTTCTGCCGAATTGGGTTCCTCCTCACCCACTAAACGATTCACAGTCTACTGGTTCGCAGGAAGATACATGCCCTGGTCACATATACTGACATCTGCACAGCAACAGCCTGCTCGCGACACTGAACGCACGCAAGATGATCCGCTCCGCGGCTGACGGTGTGAATCACACGAGCGAAAACGCCTCTCTCTCACTGCGAGAGTTCCACCCCAAAAACTCGTCGCTATCCATGACATCTAAGGTTCGGTCTGTTCTATTCATCTCTGTTGTACACGATGCTGAGCGCGAAACAGCGCCCGAACATCTCGATCAAAATCGACACGACACACGAGTTCAACCGTGACGGAGACTCGACCGACCCCGAGAAATTCGCGACTCAATCAGCTGCCGTCCGTTTCGAGCTTTCTCATTCGCCTCGCCCCACTCATCGAGCACCTCCCCAGTCCATCCAGTGTTACACTCTCCCCAACTCGCCCCTCGAGACGACGGTTTCTGCCGTGTGAGCTTGCACCGGGACGGAAGCGGGGATCCAGTCTATGTAGCAGAATTTTTCTTTTTGAACAGACACAAATGTGTAAAACTACTTGTACATATTTCATTTACGTTGCGATAGGCCATCGAGTGGCCAGCTTCAGTCTAGTCTGATGGAGAGCGAACGACAGCGGGCTGCGTGCAGTGACCATATCCGCGTGTCGTTGGTCCAGCGGGTAAGTCAGGATGTCCCGTACGTGGATCAGATTGGCTTGCATCCGCAGAATCTGAATGACAGCTCAGAAAGGACTCAGGGTCAGCGTCCGAAGAACACGCACCTGCTGCATGGAATAGCCCATCAGGATACTCTCCAGCTCCTGCACCTGCTCAGTATAGACTCTCACGCTGAACATCGACCAGTCCAGCAGCTCCCAGAACGGCAGATGCGTGTCGTCATCGAATATGACAGGAATGCAGCCTGCGTAGATCGCATCCTCGATCCGGGGCGCCCAGCCAGCCACACCAGCCGGGACAGCACAGAATATCGTGTTGTTCAGGATCGACATGTACTCGCGGTGACCTCTCGGCTTCTCCCACTTCATGGTCGGCAATGGCAAGCTCAAGCCCATCTCCGCCCGACTGCGCTCAAAGGCTGTCATTCCGTCACCGGGGAGCGGGCGCTGGCAGGTCAGCTTGCGGCGCAGAGTGCCACCAGAACCCCAGATGGTGCCGTGGAAGAAGGACAGCAAGGTACGGTGCGTCGCGGGTCGGATGAAGGCCGGGTTCGAGAACGCCGGTCGAAGCTGTCTTGTTCGGCAACTGCGGGGCGGGATGCTTTGATTGAATGCCCGCGTTAGATGGACGCTTTCGAGAAAACGAGTGGAAACCCGTACATGATATCCTGATGGGGACGATAGCAGGGGCTGTTGAGATCCCCCATGACACTGTCGAACCGTTAGTATCGACTCGGATATCCTGCACACAGTGCAGTGGAGACTAGCTAACCTCCAAGCGACCACGTCCTTGAGCACGTCGGGGACCGAATACTTCTGTCGCACTTCCCAGATGGTCCATGTGAAAAACAGGCACAGACCCCAGTCGTACGTCGACGGCAGCACGACTTGCTGCTGCTGCTGAAGACGATTCGGGTAATTAGCATCCAGCTGCTCCATCAGCGTTTCCATCGCGCCTTCATCGGTCCACATCCGAGCATGATAGTACGGCTGGAATATCACCTCCGCATCCTCCACCCTCGCGACATTATTGACCCTCAGCGCCAACTCTATCGATGCGTCTGCCGAGAAACAGTCCCGCTCCAGGAGACGCGCGACAGACTCGAGATGCGGGCCCCGCAGTGATTCACTCACTCTGTCCACGGCCGCGATATGCACCGCGGGCCAGGATGACCCATTCGACTCCAGGTATCGCGCCGCTTCGGGCCGGAGAACATCTTGCCACGACGTTTTATCCACCAGGTCCAAGAGAGAGTGGCTCACAGTAGGGGCAGCAGAGAACCGGTCTTGGAGCGCGCAGTGCATCGCCTGAACACACGAGCAGTTGCCCGTGTACACGCAGACTGTAGGATGGGCGCAATCGTTCGAGCAGGCGACCAGTGACTTGTGCGCCCACTCCGATGGACGACCCATCCGACGTGGCTTGTTCGGGATAGTGCCATTCAGTGCGTCGATGTGTCGCATTGTCACATGCGTCTGGTCGAGTGCCGCTTTGGCCCGTTCGCAGAGAGTTTGAGGGATGGTTTGGTTGAAAGATCGTTCTTTCGAATACCGTTCGAGGTGGATGCTGTATTGAATGGCTGCATGAAATATAAGCGCAAGCAAACCACCGAGACGCACATACTCACGGTCTTGATAGTAGAAGGGCCATGGTGGCGGTGCTGGACAACAAATCGGGCTCAGTCGAAAAGGATACGTGTCAATGTCATCCGAGATCCATGAGAACCAGCCAGTGAAATTCGGCGGAGGCAAAACTTGAAATCCAGAGTCTGGGAGCACGAGTTTGAAAGACCCGTCGATGGGATGGAAGATCAACTCCCACTCGACGACCGCCTTGTCACTGCCGTCGTCCCGGGGATGAACATGGTCGAACACAAACCCACTCGCGAATTCAGGTAGAGAACTCGAATAGAGACCCAGAAAGTGTCGAGCATAGGTACGCACTGCAGCAACCTTGAGAAACACGCGGTTCTTCCTGATCTGCACAGACAGGTTGACCGGATCAGGAATGATGTTCTCCGAAAGGACCCAGACGAGCCCATAGTCATCAACCGTCCCAGGTCCCATGTTGTCCGGGTCCTCGGCATGGCGCGGATTGTAGTCGAACGCCAGCGCCCATACCTCCGTCTTGACGTTGACCAGCAGATTCGCAGTGCAGCCATCCAGTTTGTGCAAGTCCTCGTTCGCTGCGATGTAGGGGTGAGATATCAGGTCGCAGCCGGCTCGGGCTTTCTGCGTCAGATACTTCTGCGTCTCTTCCAATTGCTGCCGAACAAAACGCAAGATACCGGTGTCAAGCGCCACTCGAGGCCGGTAGTCAGCTAAGCCTGGCACAGGGGAGTCGAGATACAGCGCGGGGTACCGAGCGTCGCGGGGCAGAGTCTGCACAGCTGATTTAGATTGCGTGACCAGGGCGATCTTGTCGACGAGTTCTTGCAGAGTGACCCGTGCACCAGACACATCAGCGACACTGAACAACAGGGGGTTGCCCCAGAAGCGTTTTCTTGACACCGTCTTGTCTAGATGACTTGCCGCCAGAACAAACGCGTCAGTGCAGTCTTCGATATGTACGAGGTCAATCTGTTGCTGAGCGCCGTAGACTTGAAGCGGCTGATGAGCCAGAGAACGTTTGATGAAGGACAGGACCAGGCGGTCGTGGTGATCGTACAAGCTTCCGTAGACAGTTGCGAGACGGAGACTGATCGCATGTATGCGCCGTTTACCGGCGCGGGCCATCCCATCAATCTTTTGATGAACCATATGCTCTGCTGCAAGGTGTGCTGGAAGATACAGTGAGCAAACCAATCAAGACAACGAATACTCGCGCACATAAGCCATATGCCGTGGAGGGCTTGTCCTCCGCCCGATGAGACTCGTTCCGCCCATACACTTCGCGCGAAGACGCGAGGACAATCCACGGCTGGAAACCAGCAGGTTTGCGGTCGATCACATCCAAAAGGGCCTGCACACCCCGTATACTCAATTCCATACACTCCTCGGCCTGCTCGCCACAACGCAGCACGCGCGAAACAGCAGCGAGGTGGACGATGCCGACAACATCCGGTGTCAGCGCGAGCGAGACTGCCGACGCGTTCCGCACGTCGCTCTGGATCCACCTGATCAGCGATGGAGCCGGGGACGTAACAGGGTTGGGTAACAGGTCGATTACGGTGACCGCAAACTGGGACAGGAGGAGGCGTTGGACGAGATGCGTTCCTTGGGAGCGTGTCGGACGGGAATTGAGCATCATGCACGTCGGGCGGTTACACACCGATAGTTCCGGCCCCACCGGTGACCACTATCCTGCGAGGGGGAACCCCATCGAGCAGGCGCATCGGCTGTTGAGGCCTGTCGAATAAGAGTGGCGAGCGGGGGCCCGGATCCAAGCTACGTGCTTGGGAATGGCGCTGTCCGTCTGAGCGAGGCATTTTACGAAAGCTCATAACGGAAAACAGGGCACAAAGCATGAGAAACGTCGCGATTCTGAGGTGTATGCTTGCCATCGTCGGAGTTCACGAACAAGCAAGAAGGCGGTGGACGGCCGATCTGAGCTGGCTTCGGCCGAATGTCCGGCCATGCCTTTGCAAAGTACGATAAGTAATTAATCCTAGTTATAGATATATGGATGATACATGGTAAGATCACGCTTCCAGAGTCCACTCTCGCTTTCTACTTTACAAATCCTGGGTAACGATGCCTACTATCGAGGCTCTCAATGGTCATCCGCACCTGCCATAAATAGTCAGTTTGAGGCGCGAGCTGCGCTGGGAGACTTCGCACCTGGTCGACCCCAACGCACGGCACGAGTCACACCATGATTCCAAGCCTCGACCCGCTTGGCGGAGGTGATGGAAACCGTGGAATACTCAGTCCCGACGAACCCTGCCGCGGAGGACTGGATCACCGCGTCGATGAGGATGGGATACCTGGTCACAGATCTGGTTAGAGGCGCGCACGCCTGACCTGTGGAGCGACATCATACCAAGCACCGTGCAGCTCGGCGGTCCTGGAATGGTCCGGGCGGTACCAGCCCAGGTCCGACACTTCGTCCCACCAGGTCGCGTTCTGCTCGTCGCTGGTGACGATCACCCGGTCCGCGACGATCTTCTGCGTGTCCCACAGCTCTTTCTGGACTTCCTCGACGCGCCGTTCGTACGCTGACAGCGGGGCGAAGCAGTCTCTCACGGGCACGTCTTTGCACCAGCCTGCGAAATCTCCGTGCCGGACGTGTACGACGATGAACTGACGTAACGTTCAGTGCCAAAACCCTCGGGTTGAACCGGAAACTCCCTGACCGGAGGCGTGGGCTCTTGTGCTGCGAGAGTGAGCGTCTCCCGGGTGTATTTCTCGGCAATTTTGGCGAGTTCTGGGTTCCAGTGCATATGTTGCCCGACAAATCTCCACGCCGGGCTGTAGTCTGTGGTCCATTCGTGCACCTGAGCCGCAGTGAGCACCTGATCTTACAGGAAGCACATCGGCTCACAGTATAGGCGCCCAGATAGTACAAATAATCGTAGCAGAGCATCTGCTCGTCCGGAGGCAGCGAAATGCCGGTCAGCTTCGACACCGTGGGCGTCCGGAGATTGAGATTCCGCTGGGTGGGATATGCAAGTGTCGCCAGCGACCAGAACGACGCGAAGAAATCCTCCGGAACGTCGGGGAGCATCTGGATCCAGCTCGGGGCGGGGGTGTACGAGACATCTGGGGCTCTGTGAGCAGCCAAGTCGGAGGCTCGACCCGCAGATACAGTGCATACCCAAGTTGAGACGCGTGGTTGCGCTGTTGAAACGCTCTGATTTGTGCGCGCTGGATACCCCCATCCAAACACTCCAGCATCCCATTGTATCGACAACATCACTGGCGGGATCCTGTTTGCGTGATTCAGACGGGCCGTGTAAGGAACGGAAGAGGGAGAGATGGACCCACTTTAACTTGGTGCCACTCGAGTATCTGCTTGCCAGTAGCATTCTGAAGTCTGGGGACATCAAACACCTCGCCGAAGGCGATGGTCGGCGCATTCCCTCCGACGTGGGTTGGCGTGAAGAAGGGAATCACGGGGATTCGTTCCGTGATCATGGCCATGTACACCAGATTCATCTATCCGGAATCAGGCCAAAAGCCACCGAAACGACGACCGAGGAGCGCACATATAGTATCACGTCGTTCGTGAAGCCAGAGCCCGGCCAACTGGTGACGTATCGCTCGTCCGCTTTCAGATTATCTGCGCAAGATCAGATCAGTCTCATCATCAAGCCTCGATCAACGCCAGATAGACCTCTAAACGCCCTCGTCGGGGCACCGTTGAGCGGGACCAGGGGCACTTGCGCCAGCTGCGGGGACGCGGACCGCATCGGGGACGGAGCAGCAGGAGGACCGGGCACCTCGACGGTGACTGTCACCGGGGGTTCCGGCTTCGCCTCGAGTTCGAAGACGGGCCTGGGTAAATCGAAGTGGGCGATGCACTCCTGTGGGACTGGGTGCTCGTCGTCCGATCCGCTGTAGCTGGCCACGCCGTACCCGATCGAGCATCCCAGGAGGAGGAGCAGACATGCGGAGAACAGCTTGCGCTGCGATATCGCGCGCGCAGGGGCCTGCGTGCCTTTAGGGAGAGGCACAGCGTACATGGAGGGAGGGGGTGGGCAAGTGAGGACGGTAGCACGGTGGCCGCCGCCGATTTGAGCGGTGGCAGATATATACTCTCTGTGTTCAGAGAATCATGCCTGATTTATGACACTACGGCCACTGAATCACCTCGTTGATTGAACGAGGCCTCAGGTACGGAGTAGAATAGCCGCTCAGACTCAGTCATCAGCATCTGCAAGCATGACGGTGTCACAAAGACAGAGCGCATGCAAGTCCGATGGAGATGTTGAATGGATGATGGGAATCTTGGCATTCAGAACAACTGTAATTAACTGGGTATCAACGCATTATGGACATCCGTACGCAGAACTCATACGCAAGTTGGCGGCCAGCACGCACCGTCCACAACACGCCTCTCGAATATGTGCGGAACCAGCCAGAAATGCCTTGCCTAGCACAGGCGTGTGACGTGAAAAAAGCCGTATATGTCGGATAGGAACATCAGTTCAGAAGACGCTTCAGAGCTCAAAAGCCGCCGTAGGCATCCTCCGGGTCATATACAGTATAGATCGAGCGGCGGTTTTTGCTGTCGGCCCGGGGGGTCGCCACTGGAGCGGGCACGGCAGGCGCCGCGAACGTGCTTTCGGTCGCCGGCGGCGTCGACATCGTGAAGCTGCTAGCCAGCGGGCTAGGCGAAACAGGGAACCGATTGCCAACGGGACTGTCCGTGGCATTCGCCACGAACAGCGTCTGACCCGACGCGTCACCCAATGTCTTGGCCTGATCGAAATACTCCGAGTTGACAGACACACGCGATTCCACCACAATGTCAGGCAGCGTCGGCGGCATCGACTCAACTCGGTAGCGACTCGCGGCAGTGTGGGCTGAGGGGGGCGGCGAAGGGAACGACAGATCGTCACCGGCCGGCATGGTCGGCGTAACCTCGAGGACCTGGCCCTCATCATCATCGTCATCGCCGAAGGGGTTAGTCCTGTCCTCAGTCGGGAGCGGCGGCAGCACGTCCTTGGCCGGCATGCTGTCGACAAACTTCTCCAATTCAGGCGTCGGCAGGCCCTGCGGTACTTCCGAGTTCAGATGTCTGGAGATCTCCGCATATTGAACAGCCTGGAAGGGAGTAACACTGGTGCGCTCGAGATCCATGTACTCCGCCTCGGGCACGAAAAGACCATTCTGGTTCTCGGGGACGGGCCCAGTCGAGAGGTTCCGGCTCAAGGTAGGAGGTCCAGTGCGAGTCAAAACAGGGGCCGGCGGTCCCCAAGTTTGTCCGTTTTCATGCGGCGTCGCCATCTCTGGAGTACCCATAGGAGAGTAGGGGGCTTCGAATACCAATGGGTTGCCCGACGAAGGAGACTGGACGTTGGGCGAAACGGGGTAGGTAGGGTAGAAGTTGTCCCCGTACATCGGGTAAGACTTCTCGCTCATAGGGGGAGGCGCGGGCGCATTGTAACCCCGTTCGATAGTGTCCTGGTGCGTAGGAGGATCGTTGAGCATGACAGCGGAGCGCCTGAAAACACCGGGGTCGAAGTCGACGACGGTGTCATCCTTGTTGCGCCGGCGCTAGGTGCAGCGGTTCAGCCACCGAGCATCAGAGAGACAAACAGAAGACGCACAAGAATGGCAAGCGTCCCCAAAATGATCAAGGCAAGACCAGCAATTCCTCCTGCGACGCCACCGATGACCGGCCCAACGAGGGCATTGGTGGGGGCGACAGAGGCAGACGGCAAAGCACTGGCGGAGCCGGACACAATCGCTGTAGCAGCAACCACATGGGTGACGGTAAGAGGGTTGTGCAGGGCTGCCCCAGTATAGGTGGTTGTCTGTGATGAAGGTTCAGCGGACGTGATAAAGATCGACATCGGAGATACGCACGATGGGGATGGATTTGTGAGTGACGGCCGACTTGATGGTGACAAGAGTGGTCGGGGAAGGGGAAGGGGAGGGGAGAGAGGCAAGGGAAGTGACAGACGAGGATGCCGGGGATACGAGAACGACCGACGGGGAGACTGGCAGCGAGGGCACCGGCGAAACGGGCGGTGGGACAAGCGCCGAAGTGGTGGTCGGCAGCGGAGCCACTGGCGTGGAAGTCTCCGGCACAGTCTTTTCCTGGGTGGTTGTCTCTGTGACGATGTGCCTGGTGCGCGTGGTGGGTATCACAGGGACCAGGTCTGTGGTCGTTGTAGTCGGCTCTGCAAAATCATCAACATAGTTCTGTATGGTTTGGTAAAAGCCGCATACCAGGAAGAACGGGAGTAGTGGGGACTGGAGTTTCAGACGTAGTGGGAAACGGGAAGGGGTTGAACGTGAGCCCATTCCCAAAGCCACCGGCGCGTTTGTTATGGCGCGCCTGTACTGCGCGCGCGTGTGCCAAGTGACTCATTTCTAAACGAACGATAGAGAAAAAGAGCGTAGAGCCTTGGAGAGGCAGGTACAAGACAGTTACACGGCCCAAGGGACCAAGGGGTTGGAGGCAGGAGGCTTGGAGGACGGAACGTGTGAGCCCCCGTAGATACGAGAAAATCTGCACGTGATACATCACATCATTATTGGATTGATCGATGCTCAAGGCAGCAACTGCGAGCGGGCCAAGGCACGCCGACGGCCCGCGAGCGTTCCTACGCTGACTTGGACGACAGGCTTCAGGATGACCATACTCGATTATGTACATACTAGCAAAGCCTAAGCAACGGCTCGAATGCTACATCCTCGCTAGAACACCCCATTTTCGTGTCAACCTTGAAGTTGCTATCCTTCTGCCGGTCACCCCATCACTGGGACCACACAACTGTCACCGAGCTCCATCCTCACGCGCTGGCTTTCCCAGCCGTTTGAGAGACTAGATTGAGACAGTAAACTATCCCTGGCTCATACTCCGAAGAGAGTGTGGCTGCCGAAAAATCTTGGCAATGGACTCATCAGTGTGTCCTGGAGTTGCTAAGGTAGGCAAAGATGGTGATACCTACTGCCCTGATCTGTGATCAGATGAGGCATCCTCATGTGCTGACGTAATAAATCTGCGCTGATGTCTTCAGCTTCTCCATTTCCACGACCTCTACAATACTCTCCTACTATTTCTTCTTGTCGTTCTCTGCTTTGTTGCTGCTCTTCCCTCCAGTTTACATAATTGCCAGCAATGGCGCAAGCTTTATTTGACGACCACCCACTCGAGCAGTACCTGCGCGGTAGGTCGACAGAGTCTCACGCATTCGTCTTTGGCTGAATGTCGATTTTCAGCCGCAGGTGAACCACCGGAAACGCCTCCTGGCTCCTGGCCACAGGCCGAGGAGTTTGCCTCCATAGACATGGATGTGGAATATGAGGATGTGGAGGAATCAGAGTGGCGGCCCGATATTGTCATATACATTGCAGAGGTGCGTGGATACAGTTCACTTCTTATATTCACACCCTCACAAGCTACAGTTGCTCGACAGGATGCTCGAACGGCCGCAATCGACCTCCTTGTTTGCAGAGCACTTCAAATACGGTGTCATCTCCTCTACTCTGCTCGCAGCTTCAATGCCGTGGTCACATCCTCGTCGCCCTTCGTCGCCTTCTCCACCCGGCCAGTTGCATCTCGACGCGCCACCTCCACCTCCCTCTCACGAATTTCCTGACATCTGGCGGCTGTCTCTGGTCGCCTTGTTTGTTGCATGTTTACTTGCTCTCCGAGCCCACACGTCTGCCGCACTTGTTATTGTGTCTGTCTCCGTCCGTTTGTATCAGCGATCTGACCACACCAAATTGGATATGACCTCTGTCCGTATCAGTTCTTCTCGGTCCGACAAAGTTTGCTTACGCACAGTCTCAGACTACGGCCGCATTGAAGGAGCTCATTTCCGCGAGCGCAGTCTGGGACTCCATTGTACAGGACACAATCAGTGTCCTCGAGAAGGAAGACGAAAGGTAGGTCAATTCTGTCGTCAGATTGCTGTATTTAACTGGATGCAGTCCTCCATCTCCCGTCTCTGCGATCCGCTTGGCGCTGCACTCCTCGCTGCAGAGCACGCAGACGCAATGCGACAACGTCCGCCAACTCCTGTCCGCGTTGACGGCACCAGTCGAGTTGGCACAGTTATCGGAAATGTATGCTCCGCCATCTCCCAGAACATCCCTTCCGCCTGAACCTGAAGTTACATCCCGCCGCTCAAAGCGCACGACCTGGAGTGGCTCCTATACCTCGCTTTCGTACAGTCCTTCCATTCAAGCCATCAAAAGCCGGGAAAAGCGACGGTCGGATCTTGCCTCGTTGTTCAGGGCGTCTTCCTTCAACAAGAGCCATAGTGCACCCAGCACACCGCCTCCAACCCTCCCCCCTACAGAAGGCGAGACTGATGCCGATAGCTCCAGTGGATCGCCCTCCCGTACGACGTTCGGTGCTGCTGCGCTAGAGTTGCGACGGAAACGACACATGTCAGGGATGGATATCCTTCGCTTGCAACACACACCGCCGCGAAGTCCGTTAACCGGCTCGTCCACGGTCTCACACGCGTCCCGATTCACCACCATGCAGACCATGAGGCATCCGTTGGCGCTTTCTTCTTTGAATCACGCGATCGACGGCGCCCTTTCGGCTAAGCGATACGCTTGCTCGTATTTGCTTGCTCTGCGCTTTGACGAGGAGGACGATGGATATTGGGAGGACGTGCGCTCTGTCATGGCGCTGCTGACAACTACGTTTGTGGACGCTGCAGCCAGACTGACGGAAGCGCATGAGGATGCAGACCACGTGGCAAATGAAAGCGAGAGCGAGGCTGATCCCTTCAAATTAGCCGACGCTCCCAATCAAAGCTCTGGTCTGGCCTCAGTCGGGGCCCTCTCGTTTGCGCCGATGCCGAGCCATCTCAGTCGTTTTGCTGCTCACGTGGATGCGATCTCCTCGGCGCTGGACGATGCTCGTGACCACTTGACAGAGTGCGTTGCTGCGGTACGCAGCGACGCTCCTCCAACGCGACCGATCCGCCGGCGGCGTTCGAGGACGTTTGTCAAAGCGATGGATACACAGCCACCTGAACCCCCTGCCGCGCTGCAGGCCTACGAGCGTCTGCGAAGAGAGCTGGGGCTTGCGCTGCGCGAGTGTGAGCGAGGGCGGGATCGACTGCTCGATATCATATGCCCTCCGGCTCCCCCGAATCCGGTCGAATCGGAGGAGGATATGCCTGCTCTAGCGCATGATGCGAGCGACGAGGCTGATGAATCTGACAAGCCCGATTCTGGGTCTCCATCGATGGACGAGGCCGACAGTCACGCCGATGTGGTGGTCGCACAGGGCGAGCCCATTGACGATCCGACAGCCCATCTGCTGCTCAGTGTTGCTCCAGACGAGTTTCCCCTGCCCGCTGCCGAACAGATATTCGAAAGCCAAGCGGCCGAAGTGGGTCCCTTGCACAAAGAACGGTCCAAACTCACACGTGAGGAGCGGATCAAGTTGGCGAAAGCAAAGAGGGAATCTGGGTCTTCGCACGGTGTTATCGGGCTGGGACTCGAAGGGTTGGAAGAGAAGATGCCGACGGGACCCGGTGGGGATGTTGTCCAGGAGCTAAAAGATGTTATCTGGAAGGTCGGGGAGAAGAGGAGGAAGCTGGTCGATGGCCAGGTTCACAATGTCGACCCAAACTTGCCCTGAGGTCTTCTCTTCCTGTTTGCTCTTATAGTTATTTTATTATGTGGATCAACTTTGTAATCGCAATGATAAGATAGGATAGGCACCGCACCATCAAGTCCGATAAGATAATCGAGTCCCATCAAAGTGCTGGTTGCGAATAAGTACCAAATGGCGAGTTATGGTGCAAGTTTGCGCAAAATGCTGTTGCATTCAGATGCTATACCAGTTATTAGCATTAAATTAGGCCTGCGGGTGACAAGAAACGCAGATCCTCGCACCTCTACCCGCTGTATGACCCGTAATCCGTGACACCAACCCGGATCAAACCCCGCGGATGCTCATCCGAGGGTGATCCGGGTGTCACCAAATCCGTCGCAGTCCTTACAAGTTGCGAGTGTAGTAAGCCAAATACCGTCCGAACGCTGGAACGCGACAGCTGCGAACGTTACAGGTGACAACGCCTGCGTGTGTTTCCAGCCCATCAGCCCGAGCCATGACCGAGATCCGCACGTCTTCGATCGCATAAGAACGGAACGGTATCAGTCGGCAACGACGTCAGCGCTCTCTCCCACCAGTCCAACGATGTCTCTCCCCACGAAAACCGCACTCATCATAGGTGCCACAGGCCAGGTCGGCGGCTACCTGCTCAAGGATCTGCTCTCCAGCCCGGCGTACTCGAAAGTCGGCGAGTACGGACGGCGCGTGACCAAGCTCGACGGCCTGCCCGCGACGGAGAAGCTCGAGCAGAAGACGATTGATTTCGAGAAGCTCGACGAGGCGGGGCTGGCCGAGGGCAAGTGGGACGTCGTGTTCATCACCATGGGCACCACCGCGAAGAACGCTGGGAGCTCGGCTGCGTTCGAGAAGATTGACCGCGAGTGCGTGGGGAGGGAGGAGTTCGTGGCCTCTCGACGCTGTGCTCACTTTCGTGCGACAGATATGTGGTCAATGCTGCCAAGGCGGCGAAGGTGGCGGGCACATCCCAGCGTCTGGTGTATGTCTCGGTGCGCATCGAATGTCCTTCCACCGCATGACCTCACCAGTTGACTTGTCTCGCTCCAGTCCATCGGCTCGAACCCCAAATCCTCGTTCCTCTATCCGCGCAGCAAGGGGCTGACCGAGCTGGGTCTGGCTGCCTTGGGCTACGACGACACCATCGTCTTCCGTCCTGGGCATCTCGGCGGGACCAACCGCCCGGAATCACGACCGGCGGAGGCTATTGGCGGGTGAGGACACCCACCCTGCAATGCACTTCGACATCGAATGATACAATCGCAGAATGGTGATCGGCCTCCTGGGCAAGTTCTCGTCCGACTGGGGTATCGGTGTCAGTGCGCTTTTTCTTGGGAGGGAATGCCATTGATGACTGACATGACGCCCAGATCTCTACGCTCGCGAAGAGTCTGCTGATAGCGGGACGACTCGGTTCGTCTGGTCTTCCCCCCGCTGCGAAAGCGACCACCGCTGGGGAGGAGGGTGCCAAGTTCACGTTGATCACCAACGCGGGCGCGCTCGCGCTCGCCGCACACGAATGATAGATAGATGTCATATTATCGTACAATATATGATGTACATTCCAATGCTACATAATTCAGTAAGATACAGACATAGATAGCAGAGAGATTAGCAGCAGGGCCCGGACGGCTAGGTGGCGTTCTTGGATCGCATGGAACGGCTGAGGGTCGGAGCGGGGAAAGGCAGAGAGTAGCGTTTTGTCAGAGTTTTGAGTCGTTGGAGGGATCCCATCTTGACATGGCCCCGTTCTCGCATCATCAACTGGTCGACCCGTTCGGCTGGCGTTTTCGGAGTGTCTTGTAGCAGCCAAATGGACGGTATAGACGGATTCGAGGGTGCTGAGGTCAGATCAGGAGTCTGAGCAAAGTGACAGATGAGTGGTCCCTACCTTCGATGGCAAAAGGATGCTGGTGGTCCAGCGAGAATTGCGAACGGCGCGGTGTGACCAGTTCGGTTTCGACGGCACTTCTTCGCGGCATGATCTGGATGTCGTCCCGCGTCTGCTGGACCGGCACCAGACGCAGGGGTGGTGTGTCTGTCACCACTGAGAGATCTTCGATGCTGGTTCGTTTCTTCTTCTGAGAACCTGCTGCCTTGGAATCGTCCGCTTCTGAATCCGACGCCGGGCCAAAGTCCAGAAAAGACTCGACGACCGACCTATGATCGGGACCGACACTTGAACTGCTCGAGGCACTGAGAGACGGCAGTAATGGCACAGGAGGCTCGGGGCCTTTGCTGCTCTTGGGGAGACGGAGACTACCCATCGAAGTTCGCACGCTGCGTCTCCGCGCTGCGGAAACACTGTCCACTCGACTGGTCTCGTTCCCCCGTTGACTGCGATGCGTGCGAGAGCTTTTGCCACTGCGGACACTGACGGCGTCGCTTTGCGGCATCGGGATACCCATGAACGGGGTCACAGGCGTGTCAACGGGACTGACAGGCGACTCGGGCATCTCCGCTTCCTTGGCAGCCAGGTCAAGGAGGTCTTCGAGTTCTGAGGCACTGGGTGTCGGCAACATGTCTTGAGCGGGTTGCGCCGGAGAACAGTCGTCCGTCTCCGTCCAGGCCGTCGTCTGCTCTATGCGCTCGATGGGCGAAGTGATGAACATGGTGGGGGACACGGGTGACATGGGAGACGCGGGCGTGGCTGCGTCGGAGGCCATGCGCGAAACGATGTCAAGGCTGAGCATCTCTTTCTGACCCAGCAATCGCACACTGGACGATGCCGAAGCTGATTTGCGGTGATTCAACGAAATCACCTCTGCGACTTCGATCACGGCCTCTCCTTCGTCATCAGAACCAGCTGCCTCAAACTCATCAAGCTCCTTTGCGAGCGTTTCAGCCTGGCCCCATGCATCGTTCAATTCGGCCTCCAGGGTCGCAATCTTTGCACGTGCATTGAGCAAATCTGACGTTCGCCGGCCGTAACTAGCGTTGAGCTGATACACAGATCAGAATCGAGGCAACAACACGTCAGACGAGCCCACAGACCTTCCGCAGTGCAATGGCGAGCGCACTGGCCCAGTGGACGTCCTGCAAACTGGTGATCTGGCCCATCTGATCTGCGATCTGCAGAAGCTGCTCCAACAGCTGGTCGCACTCCGACGTCACTTCTGAGAGCTGACTCGTAAGCTTTGCCATGAGCTCCGCATCGCTGTCTTGGTTTTGACAGCCAGATGCCGAGTGCAGCGCTTGCAGCAGCATCGTCCGCCGCTGCATATTGAATCGGTACTTGGCTTGCAGGGTCGATTTCGAGGCGGTCAGGCGTTCGAGTTCGGACGGAAGGACGCGATCGAGATTCTCGACAGACAGAACGCGGATGAATGATTCGCGGGAGGAGCCCCGGATGGCACGCGACACGATGTCCTGCCATGTATGCATTCAGTAGTGATGACGAAACCAGGTTGGAATACACCCACCTGCAGCTCCCTCGAATCGAATGTCCCTGAAACTGATTCAGTGGGGGCGGGTTGGGCATTTGAATAGGCACGAACATAACGCGGCTTCGAGTGGCAGCCCCTTCCACTTGACAGGAACGGACTCGAAACTGATCTGCACCGGAGGAGCGAGCGGGACCATCTTGGGTGCGGACACGACGGTGGGCGCGGGCGAATCTGCTGGTAGCGGTGTTGTTGTTGGTGCCGGTGCTGGTGTCGGTGTCGGTGTCGCAGCGGGGAGTGGTTCTGGGGCCTCCGAAATGGACGGAGGGGGCTCAGATGCGTACGTGCGCGGCGAGGACTTGGCGTCTGAGGACCCTGATAACGTGGAGTACGGAGTCGTCGGCCGCTCGGTGTACTGAGGCAAAGGCCCTGGGGGATACGCCATGGACTGGCCGGGGGTGGGAGACCTGATCGTCTCGGCAGGGAGTATGGAATTGCGCGACGAAACGTTGCGCGACCGGGGACCCATCGGCACTGCAGGCGATCGGCCTCGCAGGGATGGCCGTCGTACCATGGGCGACAACGGCGGATCCATGCTGCACAGAGGGAGCGCGTCAATTCGGGACAGACAGAATCAAGTGCGTGAAGAACGTTGAACAAATGAAGCGCTGACGGCCTGACGCGGGAGTTTATTTCAATTGGTTCCGTCGCTAGTCATCAAATGATGAGACGTCAATGTCACTTTCTAAATCCGGAAAGAGACCATTATAATATAAGGCGGTAAGGCCGACAAGCGGCAGGGCCCGGTCCCTTGTTTGGTAAATATTAGTAGTTAGGACATTCTATATGATAAAAACAATCTTTATTCTTTAGTTGCAGATGCAGAGCTCACAAGTCATTTCAGCTTACACTGAGTCATGTGACTCAAAGGCTGTGCTAGAGATGTCGAGAAACGTGTTTTTCAGCGTCTCCAGCACAGCCACTCAGTCTCCCACGCATTTTGCTCTCTCTTCTCTCCCTCTGTCCAGATTGTTCTAATCTCTCTTCAAACTACTCCTGCTTTTGTATCCCTCCTCTGTTGACGAGTGATCTGTGATGCGCCATCACAGCTTGGACATTAGGCATTCAGATGTTTGGTCGGTATTTATGCTCAATCACCGCTGGGACCTATACAGGTCTCACCGATTGTTTTCCGCCCCTCAGTCTTACCATTATCTACGGTCGACTGAGGGTGCATATACATATTATTATTCTTGCTCTACTATCATACTTATCTGTCCCTGTAGACTTACTTGTGTACTACGTCTACAGGTATAAAGGAGTCTTACCATTATCTACAGTTGACTGAGGACTCACTTGTGTACTATGTCTACATCCTTCTCTCATCCATGAATCAGTCATCTGCTGGTCTTGAGCAGCTCAGAGATCTCCATGTTGTCGCAGATACAATTCAAACCCTCTTTAGTCTTGACTCCTGATCTCAACCCACAGACTCAAGAACATCTTCAGGCAATCTCAAAAGGGGTGGATGATCAGATTCAGAGCATGGGCAGCCGTAGTGTGGAGCAGGAAGATGATATTGAGCATAGTGGTGTGGGCCTTTTGCAAATACATGTAAATGGTGTGTGGCCTTTGATCTCTTGTCCCTAAACAAAGTCTCCTATTTGACTCAGATCTTGATCTTGCTCATATGATGTATGGCATGCCACTGGACAGTGTTGAGCCCCTTAAACCTGGTCCCAATGAATACCGTTACACCATTGATCAGATTGTATCAGCCATACCCAATACCAGTCTTCCACCTATCCAACATCCTGCTCCTCCTCTTACTTCTCCGTCTGGATGTTACTATCCTCAGGCACTGGATTTTTTCCTCACTGAGGATAGTCGCTATTCTCATGGAGTTGTCTATGCTTCTGACTTCCACACCACTGACAAGCTGCTTATCCGATGGTGAGCCCTCTGCACTATTGAGCCTCCTGGCATTGAGGCAGAGTTTGATGCTGCTGGCCATTTTATTGATTTCCCTATCCCTGGAATGATCTGCCAGATACTTGGTGTTCTGTATATCCAATGCATCAATAACAGTCTCGAGGAGACTGTCACTGTTTCTGTGGTACATACTGTACTAACGCGACCGTAGAGTCAAGTCACCAGTCACCGGGACCTCTGACTTGACTCATCTCAGGGTCTGTTACCGGTCACCAGCTGGCTTGACTACTGACACACTTCATTCAAGAAAAAACATTTTTTCAGACAAATTTTACTGAATTTAATTGCACTTGAGCTACTTGCTACTGATTGTGTACAATGTAGCAGATAAATCCACCAAAGAGTTGACCACTTGTGGCCTTTCAGATGTGCTCCTGCGACCATCAGTTTGATGGTTCTTTGATGGGTGTCACCGGTGACCGGCAGGCTTGACTGATGACACGTTTTGTTGATGCATGTCACCGGCTACCCCCCTTGACTCTACGGTTGCGTTAGTACAGTACCTCCAAGAGTCTTTGGATCTTTGGTGAGCATGAGCACGTCAAACTGCTGGAAGACTGTCATAACTCGACTCTTTTTCATCTTATCTTGGCACGACTTATCTTATCACGGATCACGGCATCAGACGGTCCGGGCTAGGGGTTCCAGGGGTTATCTCTATCGATTCGAGGCTGCGCGACATATGCTCCGGAAGGTTCTACTACAACCCATGACCAGTGCTCCATGCGGTACATAGCCCTATGACTCATTAGTTGTAGATATGACTCAGACTGGATTTGGGTATAAATACTGTAGCTACTTGGTTGTATTCTCCAGTCTTCGAATTCACTTCTCTTTTCGACTTTGTTTTTGGGTTGATTGTCACATAATTCGAAGACTCCCCTCATACCCTTGTACCTCTTACCTCCTACCCTGCTCCGTGCACCGCTACGCCCGCTATATCCTCTTCACCCTTACCACCCCACTCACCCTTTTACCGAATCATCTAGTCGCTCGCTGCGATCGCAGTGAAAGGTTCATATCGAGCAAACAGCACCAGGCCACGGGTAACGTTGAGCCCGACCCAAGCCTTACGGTAGCTACAAGGAGTGCTGCGGAGACCTTTGGGAAAACGCACCTCGGGATCATCGGGCACGTGAAGAGCTAGGCCCGGGATCTTTTTGCTAGCAAAAGAACCTTTCCTCGAGTGCTTGTACAGCACACGAATCCACCATTTCGTACCGATTCCCATCGTCATCTGGGAGCCCATCCCCTCCCCCCATCATACCATCGTCGCCCGATCTGGCGCATCAAAACGAACCCGGACCCTCCAACCCCTACCTCGCCCTCCCGCTGCCTGAAGACGAGATCCCCGACCTTGGCGAGTTGCCCTCCGAACAACCACCCTCGCCCCCACCTACCGCACCTGCTCCTACCATGTCAGGACATCACCGCATCACTCTCGCTGCCAACCCCCCCTACTTCGATGGCGACAAGTCCAAATACCTGGGCTTTGTGGACGCGTGCACCACTTACATTGGTGCCTATCGGTCAGAGTTCTCGCGGGACGAGACGAAAATCCTCTTCGTCCTGTCCTACCTCCGCAATGAGAGCGGCACAAGCTGCGCCGCCTCAAGATGGGCGATGAACTGGAAGCAGCACAATTTCGAGGGCTTCCAAGGACTAAAGGCGGGAGTCACCGCGACAAGCTTCTTGGAGGAGCTTCAGAGGGCCTTTGGGGATTCTAACGCAGAGCAAGTCGCTGCCGCCCGACTCATGGCCCTTCGCCAGGGCAGACGGTCCTTCGCGGACTACATCTCTGACTTTGAAATGCTGGCTGCGGACGCGGGGTACAACGTAGTCGCCTCGACCGATGACAAGGGCGAGTACAAGAAGGGGGATCAGGACAACATCCTCATCGAGTTCCTCGAGCGCGGACTCAGCAGCGAAATTGCAAGCCGCCTCTACAACACCGGCGTCCCCCTGCCCAAGGCATATGGTGCCTTCAAGAACTGGTGCGTCAACATCGAGGCCAATGCCTTGCGCGATCAGCTGCGTAAGGCATCCTATGCGCACTCAACTCCGCGGCCCCCGCCCCAATTCCGCCCTCAGGCTGCACCATCAGCACCTACACCCGCTCCGGCCCGACCAGCGGCCAATGAGCCGGTTCCGATGGAGATCGATCGCACCCACGCCCGTGGCCGTAATATCATCTGCTACAACTGTCAGCAGCCTGGGCACATTGCGCGGAACTGCCCTGAGCCCAAGAAGAAGCGCACGTTCTTCAATCGGGCCACAATGCTAGAAGAGATCGAGAACGGGGACAAGGACAACGAGTTCCTGAAGGAGATCGCCGAGAAGCTGCGCGAGAAGGGTTTTTGAAGCGCTCCACTCCTCTAGCCAAGGAGGTGGAGCGTCCGGACTATGGACGTTTTTCTGTACTTGTTTCGATTAAAGACATGAACGATTCTACACATACATATACAATCTCGGACTCATTACGTACCAATATTCATGATTTTCTCATTGCTGATATGGAAAAGGAACGACAAAGAAAAATAGTTTTAAATAGAGAGTATTTACAAAGTAAAAAGGATCAGAAAGCTGCGGACAAATTAATTTTGGACTCCTACGTATTTATGGCTCGTGGAGAAGGAACCACGTCAACAAAGACCGAAAAGGGGAGCATAGCTCCGGAGGCTCAATCCTTGAAAAAGGAGGAAGCGCCCAAGGAATCTGCCGAAATCAGGATTCCAGAAGCACCCAAACACACAAGGGTGCCGGATGCCGTTCAAAGGAAATGGGCAGCCGAGAGACAGAAGGGCCCCCAGCCCAGCAGACTGGCGCAGGAATTGCGCAACTACCAGGCCGAAAGGAAGAGACATTCGATGGACGTATATGTCCAGATCACAGGCCTGGACTCAGGAAAGACGCGCGGAGTCAAGGCGCTACTCGATAGTGGCTGTAGCACCTGCTGCATCGATACCGACTACGCGCGGGCAGAGAAGCTGGATATCCAAGAACTTCCCCAACCCATTGTGGCTCGTAACGCCGACAACACCGAAAACATCAGCGGCCGGATCACGCATTACGTTGACCTAAGGATGAGAATCGGTCCTCACGTGGAGACACGCACGTTCCTTCTGACGTGCTTGGGGAAGGCCCGGATCTTCATTGGTCTTGACTGGCTGACGGAACACAACCCGGAGGTGGATTGGCAGGAGCAAACGATGAGATTCAGCCGATGCCCAGAACGGTGTCACATGAGGGGTCACGAGGAACACCAAGCGATGACTGACATGGATGCAATGGACCTGGACACGAGCGCACCGGATCTGGAAGAGGGAGAATCAATCCTGCTGATCGACTTTGGAAAGGAGATAGATCTACGGCTGAAGGAAACACCGGCGCAGAAATTCGCAGAAGAAGCGGAAAAAGAGAAGGAGAGGATGACCGAAGGGAAAATTCCGGATCAATACCGGGAATTCGTCAAAGTATTTGCCAAGGAATCATTCGACTCGCTACCGGACCGACGAACCTGGGATCATGCGATTGAGCTCAAACCCGATTCCAAAGCAGTGGACTGCAAGGTGTACCCGCTATCACGAAACGAGCAGGTCAAACTCGACGAGTTCCTACAAGAGAACCTGGCCAGCGGACGAATCAGACCATCAAAATCACCCATGGCCTCAGCATTCTTCTTCGTCAAAAAGAAAGATGGTTCACTACGTCCCGTCCAGGATTATCGGAAGCTGAACGAGATGACAATCCGAAATCGGTACCCGCTGCCGCTGATCTCCGAACTGGTCCATAATCTATGCGGCGCCAAGTTCTTCACCAAGCTCGACATCCGATGGGGATACAATAACGTACGGATCAAAGAGGGTGACGAGTGGAAGGCTGCGTTCCGCACGAACCGTGGACTGTACGAGCCCTTGGTCATGTTCTTTGGTCTCACGAACTCCCCGGCTACCTTCCAAAACATGATGAACGACATACTCCGAGAACTGATCAACGAGGGACACGTGGTAGTCTATCTGGACGATATACTGATCTTTACAGAGAACTTGGAAGAACATCGGCGGATCACGAAACGAGTGCTCGAATTACTCCAGAAACACAAGCTATACCTGAAGCCCGAAAAGTGCGAGTTCGAACGCACGGAAATCGAATATTTGGGTGTAATTATTGGACACAATTCGATGCGGATGGACCCAGTCAAGATCAAGGGCGTAATGGAATGGCCGGAACCAAAGAGCGTCAAACAGGTCCAAGCTTTCCTCGGATTCACAAACTTCTATTGGCGCTTTGTCCGGGGATACGCGGAGGTTGCCAAGCCATTGACACGGCTGACAGGGAAGGCAGGATGGTCATGGGGTGCAGATGAGCATGCGGCATTTGATGGATTGAAGAAGAGAATCGCGGAGGATGCGGTCCTAGCACTGCCAAATGACACTGGGCAATATCGTCTGGAAGCCGATGCTTCGGAAGGGGCAACAGGATCAGTTTTGAGCCAAAACCAAGACGGCATTTGGCGCCCAATCGCATTTATTTCGCACGCATTGACCGAAACCGAGCGAAATTACGAGATCTACGACAAGGAAATGCTTGCAATCATGCTATCATTGGACGAATGGAGACAGCTACTACTGGGAGCCACGGAGACGTTCGAGATCTTCACTGATCACCAGAATCTTGAGTACTTCCGGAAGCCGCAGAAGCTCAATCGACGGCAAGCACGATGGATCACGGAGTTGGCGGAGTTTGATTTCACCTTACGACACCGACCCGGCGCACTCAACCGCAAGGCAGATCTCCTGTCTCGACGAGCAGATCACGATCAGGGCAAGAACGACAACAAGGACGTCACGCTACTGAAGCCCGAGTTCTTCCGATCACAAGAAGTCACATTCGAGGGACAGGATCAGCAGCTAATCGATGAAATCAAGGCCATTCGATCAATTGATGGAAGCGTCAAGGCGGCCTTAGAGAAGTCACTCGTCGGATGGAAGAAGGAAGAAGGGCTTATCACGTATCATGGGAAGCTCTATGTACCAAGGGATGAGGAGTTGCGGGACAAGATCATCGGACTACACCACGACACCCCTTTGGTCGGACACGCTGGGATCAACCGAACGCAGGAGATGGTGGAAAGGAACTACTGGTGGCCAAGGATGGGAAACCAAATTCGGAAATACATCCAGACGTGCGAGGCGTGCCAGCGGACCAAGACCAGAAGAGCCAGGACAGGGAGTTTGCACCCGCATGCAGTTCCAAACGCGCCGTGGGAAATCATCTCCATGGATCAGATCGGACCCTTGCCGGTCAGTAACGGGTATGACGCAATTCATGTGTGGTGTGACACCTTCACCAAAATGATCCATGTCGAACCAATTAGTACTGACATCAGCAGCGAAGGAGTGGCACGATTAACCAGGGACCGAGTCTTCCGCTACCACGGGATCCCTCGCAAGATCATCACCGACAGGGATTCGCGTTACATCAAGGGCTTCATGAGGGAGACGAATCGGATGTTGGGCGTGGAAATGAACCCGGGGACCGCATACCACCCGATCACGGATGGGCAGACAGAACGCATGAATCAGGAGATCGAGCATTATCTCCGCATCTACGTCAATTACCATCAGACGGACTGGTCGGAGTGGCTGGGAATGGCGGAGTTCGCATACAACGACAAGATGAACACGTCTACCAAAATATCGCCATTCTATGCAAATCATGGATATCACCCGTGGAAGGGAGTGGAGCAACGGATGGAGTCAAGGAACGAGTCGGCGGAGGAATTTGTAAAAAGAATCAAAGAAATACAAGACGAAGCAAAAGCAGCACTAGAAAAAGCAAAAGAAAAAATGAAAAAATACTACGATAAACAAAGAAAAGAAGTTCCGGAGTTGAAGGTTGGGATGAAGGTGTACATAGAAGGGGAAAATATCGAGACGGATCGACCATCAAAGAAGATGAGCGACAAGAGACTAGGACCATACGAGATATTGGAGAAGGTTGGAGCGGCTGCATGGAAGCTGGATTTACCGGACACGGACCGAAGACATCCGGTGTTCAACGAGTCACTGTTGACACCCTATCACGAACCACCCCCCCATCGCCGAGAGAAGAGGCCTGTAGCCAAGATGATCGGAGGAGCAGAAGAGTGGGAAGTCGAAGAAATCGTGAAAGAGCGAAAAGTCGGCCGAGGAAAACAGTACTTGGTCAAATGGAAGGGATGGCCGCACAGCGAGAACACCTGGGAACCATCACGACACCTTACCCACGCGAAGAAGATCCTGAGAGATTGGCAGAGAAAACAATCCAACCCAGACACACGCATTCGCCTCCTGCCAACGCTCGAAGCGGGACACTGGGATTATCTCATCCATCGCTACAAACCCAAAGACGAGCGCCTTCCATATCCCCAGCGACAACTCTTTGATCCCTACGAAAACGTCTTCACGCCCATCGGCCTAGTCGATGAGGACATCGACCCTAGAGAGGGGGTAATGTCATAACTCGACTCTTTTTCATCTTATCTTGGCACGACTTATCTTATCACGGATCACGGCATCAGACGGTCCGGGCTAGGGGTTCCAGGGGTTATCTCTATCGATTCGAGGCTGCGCGACATATGCTCCGGAAGGTTCTACTACAACCCATGACCAGTGCTCCATGCGGTACATAGCCCTATGACTCATTAGTTGTAGATATGACTCAGACTGGATTTGGGTATAAATACTGTAGCTACTTGGTTGTATTCTCCAGTCTTCGAATTCACTTCTCTTTTCGACTTTGTTTTTGGGTTGATTGTCACAAAGACGAGCTCTACACTATTGCCTTTGGTCCCAAACTCTCCTCTGCAATACCATTGTCTGATACTGGTGCTCCTCCTCCTCTCACCATCAAGGCTCTGTATGCACAGGGTCTCAAGCGCAATGATTGTTCTGGGCCTGCTCAGGCAGATAGCTTCAATGGCTTGTACAGTCTTGCCTCCACTGTTGAGAAGGGACAGGGACAAGGATGTGTGCAGCCTGCCATCCAGACTTTGACTCCTGAAGCTACCGCTCTTATTTTGCGCACACTTCAGATTGTCCACAAGCTTCAGCAGATCATCTTTCCGTGTTCTCTATCTCAGCGAGAGTGGGAGATGGCCAAGTTTGTTGCTGATGACAACAACATCTTTGTCTTTGGTGGTTTGGGTGCTGGGGCCACTGGTCTCCAGTTCAACGTGTTGTCTGGCACTGACAACCTGACCATTTGAGGGAATAGCAAATTTGTACTTGAACCTCTGGTTACGATGTCCACTTATAGAAATATTGAGTGCACATGCAACATGGCCCAAATCATCAGTACATATTTGCTTGGGGCTGGGATTGAGAATGATGTCCAATATTGCAGATGACATAGCAGAAGAATTCTCAAAGCCTGTGGCAGTAACCCGACATGTGGAATGGTCAAGACAATCATCAGAAGTAACATCACATGCATGATCAACACAAGCACCAGTTATCAAGTGATGGATTAGAGTATGTCTACATTGTACAAGGGTAAGATTGTCTGAAGGTATGATGTGTAACTGTAAAGCTTGTTGCATTGCAGGAAGATCAGCATGGAAGACAGAGGTTCGGGAATAAGTAAGATAACAAGCCATGAATACATCATGAGGAATGCTGTTCACAGGAAAAGAATCATGGTTCATAACACAAGCAGATGGCAATGGACATGGACATATAGCAGCTGAACAGCTGCAAGTAGGTGGATCTGCACTGCAACATCAGAGAAAGAAAAAAGAGACAAGACATAGACATACACTTCAGAGGAACAGAGTCGAGAGCTCCAGTAGCATGCTCCTTAGCATGAGCAAAAGGGGCAAGAGGAGAAGCAGAGTGATGACAAACTGTACATGGTGTGCAGTGCAGATTAACGCACACAAAATTATCACGTACCTTGGTCATCTGACAACAGAGTGAGGGTAACAGGGCTGGTTGACAGGTACAAGATAGGAGAGGGAAGGGTTCAGCAACAAAAAAGCAACCAGTCACGGCCAAGGACAATGTTGTATGGAAGTGAGGACACAATCTTGAGAGACACAGGCATGACACAAGTCATGAGGATGCCAGGCAAAGACAATGGACCACCGCAGAAAGATTCCTGGGCAGGAAGACCAGCATCCAAAAGCCATTTGAGAGACAAAGTGGAGAACTCTGCATCAGTGTCAAGGGCAACAGTGGCGGGATGTTCACAGAACATGGGCAACATGGATGAGAGAGGCGTGAGCAGACAAGGGAAATGTGACATGAACTAGTACAGGAAAGAATCAAAGTGTCATGTATGATGAACAGATGACGCACAGATGACCGAAGAGAGCTGGAACATAAGCATTAATGACAAAATCACATCATGACTCATTGTAATTGACTAAAATCACAGTTTACCGCCAAAAGGTCAGGTTTCAGATCCCCTAAAAACCCTTTACCTAAAGGTACCGGGAAAAAACTCAACAGCCTGGCTCCTTGCGGCTAGTCCTCAGCTCAGGGAGAAACACAGAGCCATGTTCCGAGTTATTCGGACGACACAATACGCATTCAATGATCAAGGAATAAGTGTCAAAGTATTTTTCGTGTGTTATTTGTTCGTCGTAAGTAATCACAAAGTACAGGCAATTATGTGTATTCGGTCATAACCCGATATCAGACGCCGATCGGGAAGCGGAAGAGGTCATTCGGGTCGAGGGCAGCTTTGAGGGCTTTCAGTCGGGGATAGTGAGACCCGTAGTAGAGCGTCGACGCTGTCGAAAGCATGAGATTCGCTCGGGACAAGGAATTGGAATCGGACAGACCGTTCACGAGGCGATCGTCAGCATAGTTGAGATACGCCCTGGATGACATCAGCCAAGGAACGAGGACCTAAGCCAGCACTCACCCGTAGCTCCAGTTGGCAGGGCTGTTGGAGATGATCGTTGCGACCATCCCGTCCAAGAAGGAAAACCCGTCCGACGGATACGGAGGAGACCCGTTTGACGACGAGGCATACAGCTGGATCGTGAAAAGAGTGTCTCGCTTGGAAAATGCGGTCGAATCAAGAGGGACCGCATTGATGGCCGAGTTAGTTCCGCCGTAAAGCTCGAGTTGCACAAACCAAGCCTGGCGATCTTGAGTTTAAGTTGATCGATGGCTTGGAGGGTTACTTACGGTGTCAGAGGAAAAGCCCTGGTTGGCCATGTAGGACACAAAGGCTTTTATCGCCGCTGGGGACATTGGTGAGCCCTGAGGGGTCATGAGAGACTTTGTGTAGAACGTGTCCCGGGTCTCGGTTGCGGTGGTGGTATTCAATGGATCAGAGCCCGCGAAATGCGCGACGGAGTTGATGTATGTCATGTCACGAGTGACCGTGGATGAGGACACCTTTGGCAGCGCTTTGAGGAATGTGTTGATGATGGGCAGGGCATTGGAGTTGAAATCAGCAGTGGGCCCATAGAATCCACCGGTGAGCTCCAAGCTAACATGCGAGCTCGACGGCCCTGGCCCAAAGTTGAGTTCTCCTCCAAAGGCAGCCGAAATGTTGGCTTTGGACAGAGTCTGGAATGCAGAAATTGCAGCAGACGCCGAACTGATGTTCAGGCTATCCCAATTGTACGCGAAGACCGTGACAGCCGGGGGTGCTGCGAATGTCTGCACTTCTACTGAGGTGACAATCCCGAAGGAAGGAGAGGCCCCCCGAATCGCCTGAGTTCAGCCGGTCAGACACGCTCAACATACTGAGTGGATGACGATTACCCAGTACAGGTCCGAGTTGCTGTTTGGAGACGCAGTGGCGATTGTTCCATTAGCGAGGACAACCGTAGCAGATTTGACCGTGTCCAGCGTCAGACCCCAAGCGCGACTGGTAAATCCGAATCCGCCGTAACCACTGTGTCCGCCAATGCCGACCTGATAGAGTTAACCGGTATGCACCAAAGTCAGACATTGGAAATACTTACGAAACTGCATGTTCCGTGCGGGAGAGCTCGACCTGCCGCATTGAGTGCAAGTGCAATGTCGCCCAGACGATTGCCCGTCTGAATTAACGCCGTGCCGTTGGAGGCTCGAACGGAGATTGTTTTCATTTTGCTCAAATCAATGACAAGGGCCCCATTGTTTCCGCCTAATCCGTTCGCAATATAGGAATGCTGTTGACGTTAATATCGGCGGTACCCTGGGACCAAGAAAGTAATCTCACTCCTCCACTTCGGGCAACGATTTCGAGACTTTGAGCAGCGCCGGCTTTGACTGCGGCGGACACTTGTTGCACAGAAGTCGGAAATGCGATGGCGATCGGCATCACAGTAAATCGCTGATTGACTGCAACAAACTCATCAGCGCCGGGCCACTAATTCGCGCAGGGATCGACCGACAAGCTTGACTCTCAGCTGAATAGTTGCCGCTTGATGGGTACGAGGCAGCGACACCTGACGCAGACAATGCCTGCTGCAGGATCGTGACACTCTGTGCGGCAGCGAGGGCCGCGAATGCGAGGAGGGAGATAAGCATGGTGGTGGAGGTTGGCTGAGTCACGGCTCTGCGTTCCAGCCTGCGCGCCGTTTATAAAGCGGTACTCAGCCCGGCACGATTTTGTACGTGAGATCGGGGTCTGGAGCCGTAATGCAGTGTAGAGTGGAGTCGTGCTATTGCTACATCGACAATGATCTGGGGCGAACGTGCCGACGCCGTGGGCTAGGCACAAGAAAGCATGTTATGTACACTGTCCCTGGCTTGAAAAAAGCCTGCACTCACATGAAATGCTCGCTCTGCATGTTTCAACCACGGTCCACGACCAGTCTATCAGCATGAAGCAGCAGTGAATCGAAGTGCGGTCAAAGCTGCCCGACATATGCATCAACCCTCGTGGTAAAGGTCTGCCGCGACGTCGGTTGGTCGGCGGGTCCGGATCCAGTTTCAGAAATCCAATTCATTGCTAGCATTCCGCGAACTGCGCGTGGACTCGGGGGAACGCAGAGCCGGTCCAGTAAGCATCACGAAACATTCTGAAGATGAATGCCCCTTGCGGTGTCGTAAGATTGACGCGCATCATGGAATCTGCCTAACCGTGCAGACATCGCCCTCGCAAGTACTTATCCGGACTGGGAGAAGTGGGCCAAGCCACATGACAGTGACGTAACACCGTTGAGCAAATGACAAGAATTGGTGTACGTAAATGCACCTAGGTTGTAAGCACAAATCATCTCCCATGCTTTTTACGTCTGATCCTCGAGTTGCCTTTTCGAGGAATGGACCTCGGACGCGTTTAGCCACGAAATCGACGGTGTAGGAATCAGACCAGTCAGGATCGAGTGACTTCCACATCTGGGTCAGAATCCAGCCCAGGATTCCTCAGGACAAGCTTACATGAGTAGCAAATCGCTCTTGATCGGTGGAGGCTTTTTAGTTCTTGCGTGTGCATGGACCAATCGGACCTCGGTGTCCTCTGATGGACACTCACATGTACTTAAAATCAAGCGTTAACCTCATTGGGATTCGTTCGCGCTGGAGCTTAGCATATGGACCGTTTTCGAGCTGATTGCGTCCGCATCAGGATCGAAGATTGAAGCGCATCCAGCTGTTAGTAGCACCTGACAGTCGACTTTCATTTCGCCTTCCACGGCCGGTCCGCCATGTCGTCGCTCTCTAACAGCTTACTTTCCATGTCCGTCCCAAAGCCCTTGGACCTACTATACACCACTCTGCAGATGTCGAGGGTGCTTCTGCGGCCGTCCACGGTAGAAGAGGCGTGAAACTCAAAGCACATGGCCGGGCAGATTCGGTTCCTCGTCCGAATTCTCAGCCTTCAGGCCCAGGGCGGAGAAACAACTCTTCTCTGTCAACACTTAAAACCCATCCAACTTCTTGTTCCGACTATGGCCCGAATTGTTGGGGGGCGTTAGAGGGTAGGACGGTGGTTATTTGAGCAGCTTCGCGAGGGCAGAAGGTCAGCAACTCTGGGTCGACACAATGGTCTCTTCCGTCTTTGCTTGGGGATCTTTCATCTTGGGCCTGGGGGTACTTTCTGGCACCAGTTCGAAACTGCCTGGGTTCCCAGAGAAGATCTACGGCGTCAACTTGGGCTCATGGTCAGTGCGCTGCAACTTCGTCGTTGCGATAATTGAATGCGTCAGGCTTGTCCTTGAATCATGGATGCTCCCGCAAGGTATGTTTTTTTGGCTCCTCTGTCTCGTCGTGTGCCTGATTTCGTTCAGAATGGAAAGACATGGGTGGCGAATCTTGCAGCGTCTGCTCGGCATGCGTTGCCAGCGAGTTCGCGTTTGCAAAGAAGTATCCCGACACAGTTGACGGCATCTTCAAGACCCATTGGGAGACGTGGTTCAGCCAGGCGGATGTGGACGCCTTGGCGAATGTCAACATCAACACAGTCCGCATTCCGGTAAACTTCACTTCTCCCTACTCAAAGGCATCTCTGAAGCCCTGAAAAAGCTTGGGTACTGGATCATCGAGGCCTTGGTCGACCGCAAGACAGAGTTCTATCCGAGAGGCGGATTGAAGCAGCTGGTGTGCTCCATGAGCTGTCATTCAGAACTGTCGCTTATCTGTCTCAGCGCCGGGGCCTGCAAGCGCTGAATGACGCGGGTATTGTTGCTATCCTCGATCACCACGCGCTGCCTGGTGTGTAGCAGTGAAAACTGGGTGAACGTCACTGAACCGTCGCGACAGGTGTGCAGACCGCCAATCAGATGTTCACGGGACAGTGCACCAGCAATGTTCAGTTCTACGTGTGTTTACAGTCTGGCCTACGAGTGGCCTTGAAGCTGATTTGTCTAGACCGCTTACAACTACCACCGGGCCCTGATTTGGACAGCCGTCATGACTACTCTGTCGCACATCGACCCTGCTTTCAGCAACGTCGTCGCCATCGAGGCTGTCAACGAGCCCATCATGAACGCTGCGATGACACCCGGGTTGGGCGACTTTGACAAGAACTTTGTCAGAGTGGTTAGGGCCACAGAGCTCCTCTTGGGTATCCGAAGCCCAGCGTTTCCCATCGTGCCGGCACCGGGAAATGGGAACTTCACGGCCATGATGCCGAATGTGGCCGATCAGGAGACGCTGTTTACGCCCGAGGTGCGGAGTGTTCTGCAGGATGCTGTCCCGATTCTGTTGGAGCTGGGTGTGGGTGGCTTGTCTCAGAGAGACGGTCCGCTGGTCACAAGGTGCGCCTTCTGTGCTGTCAAATGCCCGTACTCACATGTAACGAAGCTTCATGGATGTCAACTGGCAGAACACCAATCCGGCGAATCCCGCAGATGCTGCCAATGGACCGCAGGGCTACGACAACCATCTCTACTACGTGTGAGTTTCCCCAGTCTGGGGGCATGGCCGAGGAACTGATGCGACCAGATTCGGCGGTGTCGCTGATGCTAACCCTACTGCCTATATGCAGAGTATATGCAGTCAGTCTTATATACGCTCTCGAGCCGAGCGCGCAACTGATCCGCGGACAGATCTGAATCGAGTCCAAGCTGACGCTGCCCTGGGCAACAGTCCCCTTTGGTTCGGCGGTGCGTGGTTTTGGCTCATCCGTCGATGAAAGACTCGACGAGTGCAGAGTGGGGTTTGCCAACGCAATTCTCGGCCACGGACGCGTTTCTCATGCAATGGGCTGATGCCCAGAAGCTCGCCTATAGTCAGGGCGCGGGCTGGATTGTTCGTCAAATTTCTTCTCATCCGTCATATGATCTCGAATCTCTCGTCTAGTTCTGGAACTTCAAGGTCGAGAAATCCGCGCTTGCGGGCAACTTGTCGAAAGAATGGTGAGTAGCTCTATGCTGTTTCATCGGGTAGAATGTCGACCTCTGGTTTGCAGGAGTTATCTTGAAGGCGTTCGATTGGGGTATCTCACGGAAGATCCGTCGCAGCTGCACAACCCGGATGTCTGTGCTCCGTACACTCAGCAATCCTAATATGTAACGATCGTATTCTTTTGGTTCAATGTATGCTGCCAGAGAGAACCTCTTTTGGGTCTCGCTGGATGAGCACGTGTCCGTGAATGCGCTTCTTCATAAGTACTACCCCTTGACATAGCTATCTCGCACAACCGCGGCGCTGCAGTCAACCCACTGGCAGGAGCGCCATGCAGTCCCTCTGTCTTTCCTTGGCAGTTCTCCTCGTCGTCCTCGCCGAAGCGCACGGCGCGCAGGCTTCTACTCCAACCACGCTCACGATCTCGAGCAGTCAAGTCGCGTCGTTCAGCGCGTACACCCACTTCGCATCGGCCGCGTATTGTCCGGCGAGCGAGTTGTTGACTTGGACATGTGGAGGTACGTGGAAATGCAGATTATGGCGTCTGATTCCGCCTTGACGCGCAGACAGTGGACTGTCTCGCCAATGCAGACTTTGAGCCAATTGCGGCAGGCGGGGATGGTGCATTCGTCCAGTACTGTAAGCCACGTAATTTCTAATAGGATGCACGCAAGGTTTACCGCTGATCGCCAGGGTTTGTGGGATACTCGCCTTCGCTCAACACAATCATTGTCGCCCACGAAGGGACTGAGCCCAAGGACCTGTCGGTTGTTCCAAATCGTACGAGCGACGCGTCAGTTGACCCTCCGTAGGGTCCCGCTGCTCACGGACGCCGAATTTGTGCAGCGACACCTTGACCCCATTCTCTTTTTCGGCGCTGATCCCGCAATTATGGTACATTCCGGATTTGCAGATGAACATGCCAAGTACGTCATGCGGCCCCGTTTTGATCGATCAAATAAACACTGAACTACCTTTGAAGGAAAGCTGTATCTGTCCTCGATGCAGTCAGGAAGGCGATTGAACGGTACGGTACCGAGCATGTTACCCTCGTCGGGCACTCCTTGGTGCGTGCTTACCTCGTAGCTTTGCGCGTATCGTCTCAAATCTGTAGGGTAAGTATACTTAGCGTTCTATCAACCAATATCGCCGACTAACCATAGCGACTGGCAGGTGGAGCCCTCGCCTTGTTAGACTCGGTGTATCTCCCTCTGCACCTTCCGGACTCGGTTAAATTCAACACCATCGCGTTCGGCTTGCCGCGGGTGTGTTCTATGCCTCGCAAGCGCAATCATGTATGACATTGATCTCGTCACGACAGGTCGGGAATCAAGCTTTTGCGGACTACGTCGACCGATCGGTATCTTTGGTGCGGATCAACAATCAGTGCGTGCATCCTTAGTCAGGAGCTGTGTAGCGAATTTCATGGAACGCAGGAAAGATATCGTCCCTGTGATACCTCGTATGACAAGTCCGTCCACTCTACGTTATCGGCTTATTGACGAGACGCAGCTCGCTGGTCGTCGTATGGATTCCAGTTTCGGCATCCTGGGGGCGAGATGCATATCCAGGTGCGTCACTTTATCCCCCCCCTATCTCCGCTGATCCTTTCCAAGCCTTCTGGGGAATGGGATCTTTGTTTAGGTACGTCACCAACGCCCTTCATCTGCCTGAGAGATGGTTCAACGTTGCGAAAGGACAAGAAAACGAAAGCCCTCTATGTTCCTTGGGTCAGGTTCCTAGGATCGAAGATGGCTCCATTAGAGAGCATGATGGGCCATACGCTGGAGTTTGGATTTCGAGGGAGGCTTGTGGACTTTCAGTCTAACTTGCATCACCTGGTGTTAATCTATATGCACGATCATTCATAAGATATAACTGGTGCGTTGCTCAACCGCTAGCTGCTGCATGGATTTCTCACATTCAGATCAGCAATACATTCATACGTAACCACTTTATTAAGGATCGAACTGGGGACCGCCCCACGATTGATTCCACGAATTAATGATGACTACCGATCTGATCTGACCTCTCGAATGATCAATCGCGCTTGAGCTTACTGACCGTCACACTGACCACCAGCATCTTGGGCAGTGAACATATCCTAAGAAATATTCAAACATGTCAGGGAGCGTCAATGTATTCGTCGTTTCACCAGATACACAGTCTGAAAGACGGATCGAACCTCACATCACGGTGGAGGAATTGAAGGTCAACTCACATACAGCTGTTTGCATCTCGTGCGAGCGAGATACTGAAACAGTCGTAGAACAAGCTCGAGCTGATCACCGGAATTCCGACATCGAGCCAAGTCATTACGATTCAGACGTCGCTTGAAGATCCAACCGACGTCGCTACACTGGCCGATGATTCTCGGCCTCTGGGATTCTACGGATTACGCGACTGGCATGTCCTCAAAGTAAGACTCTTTTCGACGGAATGCGATCGCAGTTTTCATACAGCCTCTCGAGGTTATAGACACGAATCCGGCAAATTCATTTACAGGGCAACTCACGGATGTGACGCAAGTTGATAAATTCGAGCTCAGCGACACTGCATATGCGGCAAGAACCGGTGCGAAATTTGAGTGTCTAGATTGGCGCTGAACTGAGCTCACTTCGAATCAGATACTGTCCTTGCATACAAGCAACGAAACAAAGTCGGACGATTTGCACCGAAGGATGCTCCACAACGTCCACCCGTGGAGATGAACATTCCCCTTGGATCGAGGTGTGAGGTGGAATCGAGCGAGCCTGGGTTGAGCAAGCGTGGGACGGTGCGGTTCGTGGGTGAGACTAGGTTCGGGAACGGAGAGGGAATTTGGGTAGGCGTTGAATACGACGAGCCCATGGGCAAGAACGACGGCTCGTATGTCATCCCCTCCGTGTCGGCATCCTTTCACTGATAACTATGCTCAGCGTCCAAGGCGAACGCTACTTCTCATGCGCTCCCAAATATGGCGCATTTGTAAGACCAGACAAGGTGACTGTCGGCGATTTCCCCGTAGAGGACTTGGATTTAGATGAGGAGATGTAATCGAGGCCGGAGACGCGTCACCCAGGCCGTAGCTGAATATTTCGTGTGCTATCGAGTCAATAATTCGCCAGATAAAGAAGGAAGTGGAAGGATCACGAAGGTTCGGACACGTGTAGACGTGACTCGTGACAGGCCTACGCGTCCCTTGAGCGCTGCCTTTATAACACACTTTCTTGTTCCACACTACCACATTCCTGCCATGGCTGATCCTAGTGGTGCCCCCGCTCAACCTGGTCCCGACGATGTCTCTACTGCTATCTTGCGGCCGAAGAAATCGTAAGTATCTCATGCGTTGGGGTATATGCGGCCAGGCGGCTAACGTACTTGAAGGCCCAATCGACTCCTAGTCGATGAAGCGGCAACCGACGACAACTCCGGTACGTCACCCGGCTCAAGCGTCTCATGAACTGCTTGTGCTCATCTATCGCAAGTTGCTACTCTCAACCCCGCTACCATGGAGGTGCTTGGTCTCTTCCGTGGGGACACAGTTATCGTTCGGTAAGCCGGTTTCCGGGCTTCGTCCATGACGATCTTATAGTTGAATGCTCCAGCGGAAAGAAGCGACGTGATACTGTGCTCATCTGTCTCTCCTCCGACGACGTCGAGGAAGGTCGCATCCAGGTTAACAAAGTGGCCAGAAACAACTTGCGCGTTAAGCTTGGGGATCTGGTCGGCGTGCACCCATGCAATGACATCAAATACGGAAAGCGTGTACACATCCTTCCCTTCGATGACTCTATCGAGGGTCTCAGCGGGAACATCTTCGATGTATACCTCAAGCCGTATTTCCTCGAGGGTGAGCTCATCAACCTCGGAGGGACTAACGACTAATGGTTACCCCGGAATAGCCTACCGACCTGTGCGCAAGGGTGACACTTTCCTCGTGCGCGGTGGTATGCGTACAGTCGAGTTCAAGGTCATCGAGACCGATCCGTCCGAATTCTGCATCGTTGCTCAGGACACTGTCATTCACACTGGTGAGGATGTCTGTGACGCGTAAGCTCTGTCAGGTCGCTGATCCCCCTTTCCAGAGGGCGATCCCGTGAAGCGTGAGGACGAGGAGTCGAACCTGGCTGATGTCGGCTACGACGACATCGGTGGATGCCGCAAGCAAATGGCTCAGATTCGAGAATTGGTCGAGCTGCCTCTCCGTCACCCGCAGCTGTTCAAATCTATCGGTATCAAGCCTCCTCGTGGTATCCTCATGTTTGGTCCTCCTGGAACAGGAAAGACGCTCATGGCCCGTGCTGTGGCCAATGAGACTGGTGCCTTCTTCTTCCTCATCAACGGTCCGGAGATCATGAGCAAGATGGCTGGTGAGAGTGAGAGCAACTTGCGAAAGGCGTTCGAAGAGGCGGAGAAGAACTCGCCAGCGATCATCTTCATCGACGAGATCGATTCCATCGCTCCCAAGCGAGAGAAGGTGAGCTATGCGTTTACATTTCGGATTAAGCTTTTATTCAATCATTTACTAGACTAACGGAGAGGTCGAGCGCCGTGTCGTTTCTCAGCTGCTTACGCTCATGGACGGCCTTAAAGCTCGCTCTAATGTTGTCGTAATGGCTGCCACCAACCGACCCAACTCCATCGACCCGGCTCTTCGTCGTTTCGGCCGTTTCGATCGCGAAGTTGACATTGGTATTCCGGATCCCACTGGACGTTTGGAAATTCTTCGCATCCACACGAAGAACATGAAGCTTGGAGAGGATGTTGATCTTGAGCAGGTACGTTTCATCTTTTGCTATCTCGAATGCTGTTTTCACGCATCTCCAACTAGATCGCTGCCGACACGCACGGTTACGTCGGCTCTGACGTCGCGTCCCTATGCTCGGAAGCTGCGATGCAGCAGATCCGAGAGAAGATGGATTTGATAGATTTGGATGAGGACACCATCGACGCTGAGGTCCTTGACTCTCTTGGTGTGACTATGGACAACTTCCGCTTCGCTCTCGGCACGTCAAACCCCTCTGCATTGCGGGAAACCGTCGTCGAGGTGCCCACTGTCAAGTGGGACGACGTCGGTGGTTTGGAGAAGGTCAAGCAAGAGCTGCAGGAGACTGTGCAGTACCCAGTCGAGCACCCCGAGAAGTTCCTCAAGTATGGCATGTCTCCGTCCAAGGGTGTCCTGTTCTATGGACCTCCTGGAACGGGTAAGACCATGTTGGCGAAGGCCATTGCCAACGAATGCAATGCCAACTTCATTTCTATCAAGGGACCGGAGTTGCTTACGATGTGGTTCGGTGAATCCGAGGCGAATGTCCGTGACGTTTTCGACAAAGCGCGTGCGGCTGCCCCTTGTGTCATGTTCTTCGATGAACTTGACTCGATTGCCAAGGCCCGTGGCAACTCCTCTGGGGACGGTGGAGGTGCAGGAGATCGAGTGCTGAACCAGATCCTGACAGAGATGGACGGTATGAATGCGAAGAAGAACGTGTTTATCATCGGTGCCACCAACAGACCGGATCAGATTGACTCGGCTCTCCTTCGTCCTGGTCGTCTTGACCAGCTCATCTACATTCCTCTCCCCGATGAACCATCGCGTCTGTCTATTCTCAAGGCGAACCTCAAGAAGTCGCCGGTATCTCCCGAAGTGGATCTCAACTTCTTGGCCAAAAGTACTCACGGCTTCTCTGGTGCCGACTTGACGGAGATCTGTCAGCGCGCTGCGAAGCTGGCCATCCGGGCGAGCATCGAGTCTGATATCCGTCGGGCCCGGGAAAAGAAGGAGAAGGATGAAGCGGCCGGCGATGACGCTATGAAAGTCGAGGAGGATGAGGCTGAGGAGGATGACCCCGTTCCCGAGATTACAAGGTACGTGGCTGATCTATAGCCAACCTTTCACGATGCTGATATGTAATACAGAGAGCACTTTGAGGAGGCTATGAAATTCGCTCGTCGCTCGGTTTCTGATCAGGACATCCGTCGTTACGAGATGTTCTCGCAGAATCTGCAGCAATCCCGGGGTTTCGGTAACAACTTCAAGTTCCCAGAGGGTGAAGGTTCCTCTGCTCCTGCAGCCCAGGCGTCTGGAAATGCAGGGTTCACGGAGGACTCGGCCGATGACGACTTGTATGCCTAGAATTGATTTGTAGTCTCGAACATGATAAAATCCAATCAATGCAACTCACGACCAGTAGAAGCCAGTAGACCAGTGTTGTAAAGTTGCGTAAGTGCTAGAAAGTTCATGCCGGGTTCCGGTTTAGTATTATCCGCGGTAGGGCGATCACAACACGCGTCAACGCGTTCCACAATATCAGGCTGCATCCAAGCTATCCAAAAGTCGCTCGCTCACCGCTCGCTCGACCATGTCGGCGACACGGCTCTCAAATGCGTCGCGCTCTCTCTCCGCCACCTCGCTCAATCTGAAAGGCCGACTCTCCGTGCTCACTTCAGCACCACTCGTTCCCGTTGCGACTGCACTGCAAGCCAACATCAAGTCCGTCCTCGCCTGCCCTCATCGTTTCATTCGATGACGACTGTGTTGCAGCTTTGTTCCAGCACGGATTCCCCCGAAACGGAGGCTGCAGATGCTGGCAGTGGCCTTTTGGTCAGTAGCTATCCCGCTCGCGGCCGCTTTCTTTCTTTTCCTCTGGTGCGCGTCCATCCCTCGACTCCCCGCCTTGCCATCGCCTCACTATGTGCAGCTCGTATCCATCGCTATGGCCGGCCTTGATTCTGTACTTGGTGTGGATGCACTGGATCGACCAAAGTCCGGAGCACGGCGGTCGCAGCAGCCAGTGGTTTCGCTCATTGAAGTTTTGGAGTTACTTTGCGGACTATTATCCTGCTTCGTGTGTTGGATTTCCTCTGAATCATTGCCGTGGGCTGACGCATTGGCATATGCAGATTTCTCAAGGCAGGGTGTGTGCGTAATGTGCAAGGACCCTATTCTCACAGTCTCACCACAGGAAGCTGATCTCCCGGCCGACCGACCGTATCTGTTCGGTTACCATCCTCATGGTATTTTCTATCTCGTAAACTTCTGCTTCTTACTGAGCCTGGGCCAGGTATCATCGGGATGTGAGTGTGCAGCAGAGGACATGTATCTTGCGTTTGACGTTGACGTCATGCCTAGGGGTGCGGTCGCGACCTTTGCCACGGAAGGTGCGCATGTGCGGGAGATGTGCTATAGTGCTCTCTAACTCGACGACGAACAGCGACGGGTTTCTCGCAAGCTTTCCCAGGAATTAGACCACACCTACTCACCCTCTCAAGCAACTTCAACATTCCATTCTATCGGGAAGCGTTGTTGTCGATGGGAATCTGCAGCGTTAGCAAGCGATCTTGTCAGAACATACTCAGTGCGGGTCCTGGGTCAGCCATTACGATCGTGGTCGGAGGCGCGGCGGAGAGTCTCAGTGCTCATCCTGGGACAGCGGATTTGACACTGCGTAAACGGTGCGTTTAGAGGTCTGTGGGAGAATCTTGTTGAAGATAGTTTATGGTCAGATTGGGATTCATCAAACTGGCCATAAGGAATGGGTATGCCCTCTTCGTTTGTCAAGAATGCGTTTCGGTTGATGAGCGCATAGCGCGGACCTGGTTCCCGTGTTCTCCTTTGGCGAAAATGACGTAAGAGATCTCCCTCTTCAAGTCTATCCTCTGACCCATCACGATCCAAGATATACGAGCAAATGCACAATGAACGTGGGACGACCATCTTCAAGCTGCAATCGAGTTTCAAGTCGATGTTTGGGTTCACGCTGCCTCTCTTCCATGGGAGAGGGCTTCTAAATTGTTTGTTGTATTCCTCTAATCGTACCCACGTCTCACTCTCTGTCTCAGATAACATCGGTCTGATGCCGTATAGACGGCAAATCGTGGCTGTCAGTGAGTGGATTCAGTATGCTTTCCATGTCTTTCGCTCTGACCTTCACCACAGTTGGAAGGCCGATCCATGTCACGCGTTCAGAAAACCCTGCGCTGGAGGAAATCATCTCTGTGCAAAAACAATACATCGAAGAACTGGAGAGGTATCAACTCGTCTACACGTCCTCGAGAGGTACTGATATCAGTTGTTTGAAGAATATGGAACACATACAAAGACATCTTTGCCAAGGCTCGAACGAAGGAACTTAACATCATCGATTAGTGCTGGTCATTTCACTCGCTGTCCCCATAGATTACATACATGATTAAACACATTGTAGATGTACATTATCTTATTTGCATTTCACGTTACACCGGGTGCTCTCTGTATCTTACGATGACGGTCCGTAGCTACATGATTGATGGCTAGTAGTCGCTGAATGCAAATTTCCTTTTCGGGCGAGTCGGTGTAGTTCAGATAGCCGCGTTTGCACACGTTTGACAGAAACTTGCGACTTGCACACCCATGCCTAGTCCCGCAAACTCCGATTCCGAAGCGTCATTCATTCTCGTAGGCCAAGAGTCTGCTTCTGGCTCGGATAGTCCTGCAGGACCTATAGCCCCCGCCAAACCTGTGAGTAGATCATGCCCAAAAGTGGCATAAAGCTCAAGTACCGTCGTCCATCCAGAAACCCAACCACCCATCCCTGAATCACACGAAATACGCTCCAGGAAGCGCTTCGACATACGCGCATGACTGGTCCGACGAGGGCACGGCTGGAGGCGTGCGGGCGCACGGGCGGCATTTCATTGATGGACACGGACGCGCATGCCAGCTGCGCGGTGTGAATCTCGGCGGATCGTGTAAAACGTGAGTCTGCGGCTGCTCTGTGTCCATCAAGTAGGACGGAGGCGCTTTTCGCGTCTTGCAGTGCGACTCAACCGTGTTTGTCTAAAGCCCCTCGAATGATGACAATGCGACTTTCCCTCATGGTGCGAAGGGCGTCACTTTTGTCGGGCGGCCGTTTCCGCTAGAAGAAGCCCCGGCGCATCTGGCCCGGCTCAGGAGGTGGGGGTTGTCGTTTGGTATGCTCTCTGCTCAGCTTATGAACACGAACTGCTGGCTTACCGTAGTCTGCAGTCCGCTTTCTCTTCACCTGGGAAGCTATTGAGCACGCTGGACCGTACGTGTCGCGTCCCATTCATTGCCTCAAATCTCCAATTTCGTAGAGGCATCTACGACATGGAATACGTGCAATATGTGCGCGAGTTGCTGTCCCTCCTGCCTGAATACGGCATGTCTGCCTTCGTATCGATGCACCAGGACGTATGGTCGCGCTACTCGGGAGGGTCCGGTGCACCGGCTTGGACGCTTGAGAGTGTTGGATTCGATCTGCACGCGCTGGAAGAGGCTGGCGCAGCGTGGTTGCTGGGTGTGAAAGGCGGAGGACATGTCGAAGAAGAGCGTGGTATCTGGCCTACTGGATACCAGAAACTTGCGGCCGCGACGATGGCGTGCGTCTCTGGCCGTTTGATGCAATGCGACTTGATTTGATCGTGTTTTCCAGGACGTGTTTCTGGGCTGGAGACACATTCGTTCCCAAACTTAAGATCACAGACGAGAATGGCTCCCAGCATACCATCCAGCAATTCCTGCAGGATCATTTTCTCCGAGCTTGGGAAGTGTTCGCCAAGGCCGTCGGCGATCTCCCTGCAGTACTTGGATTCGAGGTGCGACGACATTGGGGACCGGAATCAGTTACTGACGTACATATTTAGATAATGAACGAGCCTCACCGCGGGTACATCGAGCTCAAATCCATGCACGCTTTTGACTACAACACGGACCTTCATTTGTCCTACACTCGTAAGTGCCCGCCTGATTGCCGGAGCAATCGTGATGACGTCTCGAAGCTTCTGCATTCCAATCTTTCCAACTGGGTGCTGGCCATCCTACGTCTGTCCCTGTCTACACCCGGTCGTTCCCGATGCCAACCAGCAAGACATCCGAGGCTGTGCTGAACGAGAAAGGCCGCAAGGTCTGGCGGCTTGATGGGCCTTCACAGGGGGAATGCATCTGGGCTATGCACGGGGTATGGGGCTGGGACCGGAACAAGAACACAGCAGTGGTGTTGCGAGAAAATTACTTCGTCCAGCATCCTCTGACCGGCAAGGAGGCAAGGTCTTCTTCCTTATTCTGTGTATCTGGAGCTGAACCAGCTCAGATTGATTGGTACACCGACTTCTATTATCCGTTCGTGAAGAGATGGTCCGAAATAGTCACGCGCGTTTCGTCATCCTCCAAGCTGGTCTTCCTGGAAGCTATCCCCAACGAGGTAATTCCGCGCTCGCGTCCAGGAGGGGTCTGACAGACAGCTTAGTTCTGCCCTGCCTCGTGGACCACCGAGAATCAGGTCCCAAATATGGTCTATGCGCCTCACTGGTATGACCTGAACGCGCTCTTCGCTAAAGCATTTGGGGACTTTACCGTGAATGTGCAAGGGCTTTCCAGGGTAAGTTCGTTCCCGAGTTGAGATCATCTGTGCTCAGATCTTCCGGCAGGGTATGTTCCCTCTCAGAGCGTTCTACTGGGGCCAGACCGGGGCCAGGGACAACTTTTCATTGCAAATTACGAACATCGTGAAAGAAGCTCACAAATCGCTCGGAGAAAAGCCTGTTCTGATCGGGGAATGCGGAATCCCCATGGACATGAAGTTGGTTTCCACATCTTTGTTCGCGTTATGCACTGATTCACGTTCTCTTAGCAAAGGTGAAGCCTTTGACACGGAAAATTTCACATGGCAAGCTCGCATGATGGATGCAATGATCACCGGTCTTGAAGCAGCCTTGGTTGGCTTTACGTAGGCGTCCTTCTCAGCCGCATCGGGTCCTGGCTGACTCCATTTTGAGCTTGTGGAACTACAATCCTTACAATACTGACCCAGCCGGGGACTTTTGGAACGGAGAGAACTTCTCCTGGTTCAGTCAACGGCGGGCCTTGCCTGCTTCTCTGCTTTACTACGAGCAAGATGCCCCGTCATTGGATCAGGGCGGTCGGATCTTGAATTCCGTCGTTCGACCCTATCCGGCCAAGACTGCCGGAGTGCCCACCCATTTCGAGTACGAAATGAATTCGGGTGCTTTCGTATTCGAATGGACGTCTGATGTCGACATCCTGACCTCAAAGGAGACAGAGATTTTCCTGCCCACGTCCATTACTCAGGGCCGCAAACTTGTCGTGGACGGACTGGGTCCAGATGACAAGTACGCTTATGATCCCAAGCGCCAGACCCTCTACATCGTCACTGGCGAAGATGTTCTCAAGCATCGCGTCCAAGTGAAAGTGCATCCGCCGCTGAGACCGTCGTTCGAATTGAACGATCTCTGGTCCGATTTCGCGGGCCAGATTGTGTCTGTGTTGGCCGTCCTGCTTGCTATCATCGCGTATTTCGTGCTCCGGACCGCATCTTAGTGCACTGCATGTTATGTAACACGTGAAAGATTTCGGACTGGGTGCATTTATCATCAGAATCTCATTAAACATGCGGCGGCCCGGAACGCGCTTGGTCTTCTCTCATTTCTTTCCCTGAACAAGATTCGTAGTAATGTCCTTGCTGAGGCCACGGGTGCATCGTGCACTGCGCATCGCGCGCCCATCTGTACGTAATTGGACATCCGTTTCCACGGCCCGTTCCGGTGAAGGGTTGGTGGTCGACGCACTAAATGCGACCTTTCCCTTTGTGTGGCTACGGGACTCGTGCCAATCCTCCGATTGCATCCATCCTTCAACTTCTCAGAAACTCCACCGCTCCTCTGATATCCCGCGCGACATCAGGCCTGCTGAGGGTGGCGTCCGGCCAACGACCGACGGGCTCCAAATCGACTGGCTAGATGGCCACCGGTCGTTCTTCCATCGCGACTTCTTGCAGCGGCATTCTTCTGCAACACATCTGGCGAAATTCCATGCAGACTTGACGGCGAGGACTTGGGGGCGCGCTGAGATCAGCCGGAATCCGGATCTGTTCGTCAAGTACGGGACTCTGCGGGACAAGGCCGGACTCGCAGCGGCTATGGAGCAGCTCATCAAGGATGGACTGCTGTTTGTAGTGCGTTGCGCGTCCTGCGCAGAGATGGTCGATTGACTGTTCTATAGACGGGCGTGCCAAACGAAGAGACGAGCGATTCGGGCTGCGAGCTGCGCGCGTTGGCCAGCAAGTTCAGCTACATACGCGAAACATTCTACGGGCAGGTTTGGGATGTGGTGAACCTGCGCAACAGCCGCAACATCGCGTACACCAACCTCGATCTCGGGCTGCACATGGACCTGCTGTGAGTCCGTTCCGGGAAGACAGTCTCACGGTCTGTCGCTGAACAGTGGTTTGGCAGATACTTCAAGCACCCGCCCAAATACCAGATCTTGCACTGCCTCAGAAACAGAGTCGAGGGAGGGTCGTCGTTGTTCGTGGATGCCTTTGGTGCTGCCGAGGCCCTGCAAGCAGCGGATCCTAAGGCATTCGATCTTCTCGCTACTCAGCCTGTTCTGTTCCATTACATCAACGACGGGCATCATCTGCACCACGCGCACAGCACCATCGAGCTCGAGGACGGTCAGATCAGCCAGATCAACTACTCGCCGCCGTTCCAGGCGCCTCTGCCTGTTGACACGCCGGTGGCGCTCTACGAGGCACTGGCGAAATACGCGGGGATTCTGGGGGACTCTCAGCGGACTTTTTCTTACACCCTGCGCGAGGGAGATGCGGTTATATTCGACAATCGACGCGTTTTGCACGCGCGCGCGGCGTTCCATGATCGCGAAGGCGAAGCAGGGAAAGAAGGGGAGCCGAATCGGTGGCTCAAAGGCTGCTACTTTGAAGCGGATGCGTTGTTAGATCGAGCGCGGGTGCTCCGTAAGAACACGTTCCAGTGAATGATATGGAATGCACAATGGATGGATGTACACAACTACAGCTTTGACGTGGACGCCTTCTTTATGTAGGCGATGCCGTTTCCCAGAGCGATCTGCACCAAGGATATCACACAATGATCAATACACAACCGGAGATCTGCGCACCTTCCCGGAGTTCAAGTTTTTGGTCACAAAGGCCAGTTCGACCGTTCCATTGGGGCCAGGTCCGACCTCCCACGCGGAGGTCTCCAGCGCATCGCCGGGCTTGACGGGAGATGTGAAACGAACCCCGTATAATTTGAGGCTCGCTGGATCGCCACCTCCGACGGCTTTGATAAGCCCCCGGGCAGCGAAGCCGAAGGTGGAGAGACCGTGCAAGATAACACCGCCGAATCCTGCAGCTTGGCCAATGGCCGGGTCTGCGTTGCATCAGAACACATCGAAGCTTGCCGAAACTCGCGGTGACTCGCCGATATGGAGTGGGTTATAATCTCCACTTAGCCGGAACATGATCGCTTGCTCGGGCGTCGTTTGGTCCTGCACCACATAATCGGGCTTGCGGTCCTTGGGAATCGGCTTTCCTTGAGGCGGACCGGCGATCACTTTCGAGTACTTGTCGCCTGTAGCTTTGGCACCGATGTTGAACGACGAGCTCTGATTTTTTCTGTCAAACCAGGGTCCGGAACACTAAATCGAGTGAAACGAACATAGAGCTTAGCGTAAGGAACACCACTGGGGTCTTTGAGGACATTCTCCATGCTCAAGACGATGCCGCTCTCTGGATGTGTTGTCATGAGCAATACACATCAGGCGAGCGGTCCAATCTTACTGTTTTCGACCACTCCAGTGTACCGCGTGGTCCAAGTCCATCCGGGCCCGGAAACAAGGGGCAGTTCCTTGAGAATCTCGATCGACTGCGTTCCATGGACGAGTTTGTTAATATTGAGCGGGGGCATGCCCGGAACAGGCGTCCCGATAGCCGCCTTCGCGAACAGGTTGAGTTCTTGGCTATCACCCTTGAACGAAAGAACGACAGGATAGGTTGGGATAGCGGCGAAGGATTTGTCTGATTCGGATTCAGAAGCGTTTCATACCACTGCATTCCCACTCACCGAGTTCTGCAAAGAGCATAGGCCCAATCCCACAGATGACCGGATGAGAAACATACCGTAAACCAGGCGAAGATCGTCGGCCTTTGCGCCAACACCGGCCGCGTAAATGAGCAGGTCTCTCTTATTCCATGACACCTGCAGCTGGTTCAGCATATGGACAGGAAGCGGCAGAGCTCAACATGCAGGCTTCGGGGCTAGCTCGTATCCGGGAACTTTAGATAGGTCAACGGACATGGTGGTTGCACTGAGCGAAGAGAGGCTGCGTGTGCGGGGTAGTGATCGTGAGCCCTGTGGCATGTGATCGTCGGCATCCGGTACAAGAAATGCCGGTGCCCAAGACCTGAACCTCATTGCGGGTTTGTGCCATTCCCGAACAAGGCATCCCCGAATGAGGGATCCAGACAAACGATGCAGAGTCCAGCTCATGCTGGTACTCGTGCGGTGGCTCCAGGAAGAACTGAAGCCAGATGTTCTATCATGAGGAGTCAGTCAGCAAGATGAGCATCAGCCTTGACAAGAGTGAGATTGGAGACGCAGTGACCTCACTCGCTGCGCATGGCAGGGCAGACGCTTTATGTCTTTGCAGACGACTCAGAGGTCGCAAACACTTCGCAGACACGCGGGAGCGGGATTTTCACGTGCATGTGCAGAAGGTGCAGAGCTAAAAATACGCGATAACAAATCCGGCGTCTTTAGCACTACGTTGTCCTCCTCGATTTATTCTAGCCGACCACCGGCCTATATTTACATAACATTGGAGCGCGCGGTTCAAAAAAGTACCATGCCTGCCACGAACTGACAGTGCCATACTGTGATCCCCAACATGATCCACCAATACGACTCTAAGTATACACAAAGAGGGTTCTCGACAGGCCACACACTAGGTCCGGAGTTCTCCAGGAAGATAAATATAATGAAAGAAGGCGTAGGGGCCGTCGCTGAGGAGGATAGATAGCGACACCGCCACTGATAACAAGGCGTGACGGATGACGATGGTTATGACCTTGCCACCTACTGCCACTGTCTTGATACGTTAAGAGATTGAGAATTGCGAAACCTCGTATCTGCAACCTGTCGCGGGAATTACACCAGGCTCCAGAAGATTTGCATCATCATTGACCCATCTTGACTGTCGCGCACGGAGAACACGCTTGCGTTTGATCATCGAGATGGAGCCGCCGTGTGAACCATGTGCAATCGCCGTGTTGCGCATTGGTGGACAAAGCATCGTCCTCAAAACTGGTGTCGTTGACAGGATCTAGGCCGGAGATGTGTTGGACGTGCGTGCCACTGAATGAGTCCTTATCTCAGAAGATCACAGAACGTTATTCCTATGACAATGAATGCCATGTTCTTTGCCGGGGCTGAGCACAGTCTCCATGTGTCAAGATGTCCGCGAATACTCCTCGAACCACCGGCCGCATATGCGACGACAGTTATAGCTTCGGATCGCGGGGCGGCCGTGGGATGGACGAGCGGACAGATGAACCGGTTCGGGCGCAACACAGATGGATTTTCGCGGGCTCGAGAACTCTAAACGCCGGTTTGCCCTAGAGCTTGCACCTCATCCCTAGCCGCGCATCTCACTTACTCGTTTCCGATGCGGCTGAACGCGGCAGCCCCGCTAAAAATGGCACCGAGGCCGATGCCCGCTTTTGCACGAGCCGCACCGGGCTGGTCGGAATTATCTTGTGGTCATTTTGCCCCCCTCGGTCTCGGTTCAGGGGCAAATACCAGTGCAACTCCAGCCTCCCGTCTCCTTACTCTGCGGAAATTCACATGATGAACCTTCAAGCTCGATTGCCAGTCCGGACCGCCGGTGAAAATCAGCACCGTCTGGTGATTACTAGTAGCACGGCCTCGTGAATGAGATCTGGAGTCAGAACAGTCGTTCCAAGAACCGAAAAGCTTTCGATCTGTGAGCGGGAGAACTCCTTCAAATCAGTTCTAATGCCAAACGGACTATCGGCTTAAACCGGCCAGGGCTGCAAAAAGTCAACAAATCCAGATCAACAAATTGAATCTTCCAGTCACCGGAAATACACGTGACCGCGCCCTCCCAGAGATTTCTCCGAACACAGTGATTTGAGCTTGGCCTCAGCTTCAAGAGGATCTCGTAATCTTCATCAATCGCTTCTTGTGCGTCTGAGATGTTCTCGGATTTGGCGGCTTTCTGCGAATTCGTACGGTGATTGGAAAGTCGATTAGGCTTGCCACATGAGAGCTCATGACACAGGTCGATTGTAATTCGGCCAAACGTATCTGGATTTGGCGCGCTGCTTCATGGAATAGCATCTGAATCTGGACGGCGTATTGGCCATTCTCGGGAAATCAACACGGTGTCATGACCATCCCTCATCATGAGTTGTCATGCTCCATCGTTGCGTACAGGTGACTTGACCCGCACACCCACTGCTCTAGAATGCCAGATCACCCGCTCCCGAAATTCGGCAAAGCAACCAAGCAGCTGCTTACGGGCCGAACCCCCACCATGGCTAGCCAAGAAGACCCCAGGTTTTCGTTCTGCATGCATGTTCCCCAGGCGCACTCGTTCGATGGACCACTGCTCCCTGTTCTTGTCTTCGTCCATGGAACCCGCCGTGAAATCGACAGCACGCTTTCGCGGCTCCAGAAAACCAGTGAGGAGAAGGGATTTGTGGTGTTCTGTCCATTGTTTCCAGCAGGAATCATCGAGCCCTACGACATCCACAACTACAAAAACATAGCATTTCACAACATCCGCTTCGATCACCTCTTGCTATCTATGCTGGCCCAGGCAGCACAGCTGTGGCGGATTGATACAGAGACGTTCTTCCTTCACGGATTCTCTGGAGGAGGGCAATTCGCGCACCGATTCTTGTATCTGCATCCTGGGCGACTGCGAGGTCTCTCAATCGGTGCACCTGGATCCGTCACACTCCCCAGAAACGACGTGCAGTGGCCAAAAGGTATTGCAGACGTCCAGACGATGTTCGGGATCGAGTGCGATTGGGAAAAGATCGCGCGCGTGCCCTCGCTGGTTGTAGTAGGAGAGAAGGACACGAATACGGGGGCATTGGGCAAAGACGCAGACGGATTGGTCCTGACGCGTGTCGAACGTGCGCGTCAGCTAGTCCGCGCTCTCAAGGAACGGGGGGTGCAATGCGACCACGCCACCGTTCCTGGGGTCGGTCACGACGGAGTAAAATGTTTGCAAGCGGTGATTACGTGGCTCACGGACCGCATCTGAATGAATGACCGTGAAGGGGTGACGATCAAGAAGCTCGGGCCATGGCACACGCCGGAATGGAAGAAGGAAACTGCGAATACTTGGCCAACGGCCTGCGGAAGGGTTCGAAGGAACAGATGTATTACTAAGCACGAGTGAGGAGCAGGTCGAACAGCCACAATGATGGTGAAAGAAGTTGCCCGATTTGGTTTGGTTCAGAACACATGCCCGTCTTGCAGCCGTCCACGTTGATCTCACCGAAGACCTTCTGCTCCTGTCATCCTGCGGTTCCCGACTGCAATGTGACGCTCATGTACCGCAGCCCGATTGTACCCGCGATGGCACACTGGAGACTCGTTATTCTATTCCGGTACTCTGGGGCATTCGAAGCGCTGGCTGTCTTTGGGACGCGCCCGGAGATGAGAGTCGGGAAGAATCAAGGAAGAATTACGGACAGTCTCATGAAGGAAGCGCTGTCATGATGTTTGCTGAAAGTATGTCTTGAGGGATCTTTTTCCGGTGGACTTCGTGATCCCAAACTTATCTGGCGATTTCCCTCGCAACTCGGATGATTGATAGCATGTCGGGACCACGAACGGCGCAGGCTCACTCTCCGTCATCGCATGTGGCCGTCCATGCTTTGGCAGCGAACCGATCCAGCTCCGGTTCACTCAGGATACTTCAAATGCCAAGCCCTTACTATCGCTATTTGTGAAGCTTCCCCTCCCGCTCCCAGGTGTCTCTCCTCCCTGCCTTGGGTTTTCTTGCTGCCTCTGGCTTTGCCACCATCATGTCGAGGACGGTCCCACTTAACTTCCTCCGCGGTCTTCCTGTGTCGCCAGGATCTTCACTCGGCGACGCGTTAGCCACAGCCGTCGTCGAATCCGAGCTCAGGACTCTCATAGACTGTCTACCCTGCACGTCGGACCCCGCCCTCTTCTCCCCCGATCTTTCGCGTCAGGCGCTCACTCACGATGCCGTCCGCTCCTTCGTCCAGCACTTTGCGCTGCCCCACTCTTTAACACGGCAAGGACTGGGCGCGAATGACCGAGTAATGGTGGCGCTGCCGACGGGGCCTGAAAATGCATTGGCGCTGCTTGCACTGGCGAGCTACCACACCTGCGCGCCGGTCAACGCGAGCTGCACGGCGAACGAGCTGCTGGACGATGCGAAGAGGCTTAGGGCAAGGGCGGTTGTCACCACCCGCGACGCAGAAGACAGGTTGGAGCTTCGAGAGCTTGCGGAGGTCCTCGGGTGTGACGTGGTGTTCATTGAACCTCGTACCTCGGGCCCCTGTGGGCTGTTCGACATGCATCTTATGGGGGATGGTCCTATGCAGGTGCCCTTCCAGCCGTCGAAGCTTCACGGTCTAGACGACCAGAGCCTCATTTTACATACTTCTGGCACCAGCGGCAAAAAGAAGGTCGTGCCGTATTCACTGCTTTCGCTGATCGTTGGCACGTCCGCGGTCGTCGAATCCTGGGACCTGCAAGAGTCCGATGTCAACAGTGTGTTTTGGTCGTTTCGATTCCTCATCCAACCGGAGCACTGATCGCGCGCCCAGTGAACATGATGCCGCTCTTCCACGTCGGCGGCATCGTTCGCAATCTTCTCGCCGTACGTGGCCTCGTTCCCCGTCTTTCATCTTAACCCAATTTTACGTGACAGCCCATCTTCTCTGGCGGTAGCGCGGTCATGTGCGCCGGTTTCGATGCTATAGCCTTCTGGACGCTTTCACGTGATTTACAAGCCACCTGGTCAGCACCACGCAGCTAACCTACACGCGCCTCGCTAAGTTATCTTAGGTACTACGCCGCTCCGACCATCCACCATGCTATCTTGACCTCCCAGCCGGCGGGCGTGCTTCCTTCCCGTGATTTGCGCATCCGCATGATCGCAAATGCGGCCGGTGGACTACTCCCGTCGCTTGCAGTCAGCCTGAGATCGACGTTTGAGGCCGTTATCCTTCCCTCGTATGGCATGACCGAGTGGGTGCTCCATATGATCGTTATCTCTCGTCGGTGCTGATGGTCGTCACCCACTCCAGGTGCATGCCCATCGCTACGCCACCGATCACGTACGAGCTTGAGCGCCCGGGATGCAGCGGGATAGCCTGTGGCCCGCACCTGTCGATCCGCAACCCGAGCAATCTCGAGCTGCCGACCGCGACAGGCAGCACCGGAGCCATCTGCGTTCGCGGGCTCCCGACCTTTGCTGGATATGAAGTCGACCCAGATCAGCCATTAGATACCTCGGCGTTCACGAGCGAGGGCTGGTTTGATTCGGGTGACATGGGCCACATGGATGAGGATGGATACTTGTACATCACGGGAAGATCAAAAGAGATCATCAACAAGGGAGGCGAAGTTATCTCGCCATTCGAGATTGAGGAGGCAGTCTCCATCGCAGCGAAACAGTTCGTCAAGGTGTGTCATGCAGATCTTCGCTGAAACAATCCAATCTAATCTGAGCTCAGACTGTGCTTGCGTTTGCGCTTGAGCATGATGTGCTACAAGAGACTATTGGTGTCGTGATCGTCCCTAAACCTGGTGCACCTCGCATTGGTTTGGCACAGCTCCAGGATCTTCTCAGGTACATTTCCAGGCCATTTGTGTCGTTCAGTATTAACTTGCGACAGGGACCATCTTCACCCTTCCAAATGGCCCTTTGCGATAGTCTACATGGCCGATGTGCCCAAGAACAGCGCCGGAAAGCCTCTCCGCATCAAGCTGGGCACGCGTCTCGAGATCGGCCAGCTCACCGACACGGTCCCCGCCCTGCACCGTCACTTCGAGGCTGCTGTGCCCGACAACATGGCCCCGTTGTCAGAGCCTATTGCCTGTGCCCGCGTCCACCTCGACTTTGATGCCATCACAGATGCCATCACGAACGTATTTGGTGTATCTGAGGTTGCCCTTCGCGTGAGGACAGACGGTTCGCCCGAGGCTTTCGTCTGCGCTCACGAGATCGACTCGTCTGATGTCACTGCCGCCCTGGCTCGGTCTCTTCCTGGATACTCCATCCCGTCGCCTCTGCACGTTATGCGGCGACACGACTTGCTGCGAGATGCTATGGGGAATGTGGACTTTGCGGCAATGGAGCAAGAGGTGGCGAGACAGCACGCATCAGCGCTTTCCGAGCAGGCGATTCTCGTGCGCGATATTATCGGGAACTTGTTGCTGGCCGATGCGTCGATGATGAAGGCCGAGTCCGACTTCTTCTTGCTCGGAGGTAACTCCTTGCTCCTGGGCAAGCTGGCCTATCAAATTCGCCGGCGCACGGGTGTCTCGTTGGCTGTGCAATCCTTGTTTACGAATAGCACCATCCAGGGCATAGCGGCGATGATCGAACAGGAACATGGCCGAAACGCGGAGAAGCCTATGCCATCTGCTCGTCACAGCGAGAGCACTACTTTAAATATGAGCTACGATTACGACGAGGACATGGCTTCCCACGAAACCTCCCGCGGGCAGACCCATCCCATCACCATGTTCGTGCAGGCCCTGCCCCTCGTTTTCTTCTACCCCCTCAAAGCGGCGATGACTTGGACCATCTTGCTCCTCATGCTGTCCAGGCTGGCACCGATCATCAGTGGTTCATTCTGGCAGCGGATTTCGTCGCTCTTGGTCGCGATCCTAGTTGCTCGGTTTACCAGTGCGTTTCTTCGTCCCCGGGATACTTATACGCGGCCCTGACTCATTTCTAGCCCGTGTCGCTGCTCCTGTGACGTCAATCATCTTCAAATGGCTCGTAATCGGCAAGTACAGGCCCGGGACGTACAAGACCTTTTCGACGTACTACTTGCGCTGGTGGATCGTCAACCAGAGCCTGCGCGTCGCCGGCCGTGGTGTCTTCAGCATGCATCCGTTGCTAGAGATTCTCTACTATCGGCTGCTGGGTGCGAAGATTGGCCGCAACGTGCGCATTTCGAAGGACGCCAGGCTTGGTGAATACGACCTACTCACGTTCCGGGATGGTTGTCGAATCGACGGAAGCATGATCCGAGGTTTTTGTGTCGAGCGGGAGGGAATGATCCGGCTGGATAGGATTATCATTGGGCAGAGGGCACTGATCAACACGTACACGCAAATCTCCCCAGGTGCCGTCATTCCAGATAACACGGTGTATGGCCCCCACGCCTCGTCCAAAGATCCACCTTCGCCTCGATCATATGCTGCGTTCAACCGGACGTTGTTAGAGGAACCCAGCCTATGGCTCAAGTTCTTCGTTGCGTGGCCGGTGATCGTTGCGGTCTACTTCGTTTCCAGTGCGTGTTGGTCATGTGTTCTTGCGCTGCATTGCTTACAGATTTACAGACATTCCTTGGTTCTTTGCAATCTGGCTGATGGTCAGCGGTGTCTCGATCCAGACCAACCAACTCTCTGCTCTGGAGTCGGTCGTGTACTGGTTCTCTGCTCCGAAACGAGTCGGATATCACGCCCTTTCTCGTGTCATCCGGGCGATCGCGACACCCGTCATTCAAGTTGTCCTCGGGGTCATTGTGAAGCGTCTGTTTGGGCTCAACAAGGAGATGACTACCCCCGAAATGTCGCAGCTTGTGCTGCTCCGACGGTACATCAACAGCACTCTTCTCTCGCAAAACGCGCTTAAAGCCGCGTTCTCCATTCTCGGCACGCACTATGAAGTTGTGTCTGTCTTCTATCGGGCCATGGGCGCCAAAGTCGGGAAGAGGGTGTACTGGCCGGGGACGAACATCTACTGCGTGGATCCCGAGCTATTGGAGATCGGCAATGATGTCGTGTTTGGCTCGCGCAGTGAGGTCTTCACTACCGATCGTGTCGGGTCCAATAAAGTTACGATCGCAGACGGAGGCGCGTTCTCTTCTCTCCTATGTGTTTGCCGCTGGCGTTGCTGACGAGACGCCTGCAGCCATGATTGCTGACCGGGTCGTGCTTCTCCCCGGCTGCAAAGTTGGCCACAAGACGGTCATGGGATCCGGTGCATTGGGCATGCGAGACACCGAATACAAGGACGGCTCGACATGGCTTGGGACTGAATGTCTGGACGAAGGGTCGCCCGCGGCTGCTGAAGCCCAGTCCACGATCACCCCCTTTGGCCGGGCATTCCACCAGCGTCAGGCGGACTACTTTGTCTTCCCATATGTCATGCTGCTGGCGATCAACATTCTCGTGGCCGCGATGTCCGCTGCATTCTGGTCGCTGAGTGCCATATCAGCCGCCCAGTTGCTGCACCAGCTCCATCTGCACTACACTCACATCCTGCACATCTACAAGCCCCGCTGGTATCGGCCCGGTGTCATCTACGGCTTCATCGCTATAGCATTTGTCATCGCACTTACCCTGCAAGCTATCCTAGCGCTGGTGTTCGTTGTGTTGGCCAAGTGGGCTATCATCGGACGCAGGCGGGACGGCCGGTACACCTGGGACAAGAGCAGCTATTGCCAGCGATGGCAGCTGCATCTCTCGCTATCTCGCATCCTCAACAAGGGCTACGCGAACGGCGGTGTTCTTGCCCCGATCACGGGCTCGGTGTACATCGTGTGGTATCTCAGGGCGCTCGGCGCCAGGATTGGCAAGAACTGTGTGATCTATGCAGGTGGCAAGACTGGTCTGATGACGGAGCCTGATCTGGTCCATGTGCGTTTGTGTCTCTCCCCTCTTTCATCTACTGGTGGAACTCACGCATACTTACAGCTCGGCGACAACGTCAACCTAGATGACTGTTCCGTCGTCGCACACATCAACTCCCGGGGCCAATTCGCGCTGAACAGTCTCAACATTGGTAGCGGCTGTGCGATGCGAACTGGCTCTCGTCTTCTGTCCGGTGCTTCGATGGAAGACTCGTCGATGCTGTGCGAACACACGCTTCTCACCTCCGGGGATGTGGCCGATGCCGGACGGGTATACTCTGGCTGGCCGGCCAAGGTGCTCGATGACAGCTGGGAGCCCAAATACAAGGACGATATGCCTTCGCTGGGTGTGGTGTGTCCTGTGTGCCGTGGTTTCCCGAAGGAGATGACGGCGACTGGCTGCGGTCATATTTTCTGCAAAGCGTGAGTGGCCAAACAAACAACATACGCCTGATGTCGTTCCCATGCTCATGTCTTGTCCAGATGCATACTTTCTGCAACGAACCATAAATGTCCGGTCTGCATGGAGCATGTGGCTGACCGCGATCTGACGCGCATCTTCCCTTCGTTCTCTCCCATCTGAGTGAGCAGACGAGTCCAGTCCGGGGCCAAACCACACACACTGTAGCATATCACGCATATTTTATAAATTAGACATACGGGCCACGTCCCACGAACATCATGTAGATGCATATGTAGAGTCGGCCTTTTGAATGCCCACCTATGTATCGAATGACCACGTGACGCGGCCGCCGACATAACGTGGGGGTGTGAGTGTTGTCCCGGGCGCAATAAATCAGATTCTCACCTCCAACAAGTTGCACCGGCGAGTCGCCGACTGAGCATTTGCCCACAGCATTGTCAGCCCAAATTCACGTAATGCAACGACGTCTCTTTCCTTCCCGCTGTCGCTTGATATATGCGCGACCGCGACAGACCTCCTGCATCTGCCACTGCTGTCTAATTCCTGGTTTCCTTCTTCCTTCCTGCAATCGCGGCCCCGCTCTCCGTGGACAGAGCGTCCCGCCGTATGAACTAGACCCGGCGTGCGCGCTACTGTATGGGGGCAGCTCTCACCGGACCGATGAACTTGAGTGAAACTGCGGCTGTGCTGGACGCGTTGTCTACGTTCCCGATCGAGGTGGCGACGGAGAGCATTGCGCTTACGCGGTGGTCGGTCGTTGCTGTGTATTGCATCGCGCTGTGCGAGTGGCTCCATGCGTGAGTCCCTCCTCTTATCGCTGTATGCGCCCGTTTTGTTGCTGAAGAGGGATGTGTGCGTACGACTAGGTTGCCGAAGGAGGTCGATCTGGTGAGTGGTGGTATACCTTGGTATATGTGGTTCAGAGCAAGGGCTCATACGATGACGAAGATCTGGCCCTCGCGGTGGAACTCCATCAAGCTTGCCTACTTTCTGTGCCGGTGCGTTTCCGCGATCTGCCCATCCTACCCTCACACTCAGAGCCCGCGGCAGGTACTACAGCGTCCTCACATGGCCCATCGTCATCTACGCCTATGTGCTCGACCACTCGATACAAACCTGTTCCCGCCTGACGCACGCGGTGAACTACACCCTCCTGCCCATGGTGAGCACGCACAATCCCAACCCTCCCTCATACCCCGCTTCTGCATGCATCCTGACCCGGCGCCCGCCAGCAATGCTTCGCCCACGCTGTGATGCTGATGCGCGCGTACGGCTTCACCGGCCGCAATCGGAAAGCCCTCGTTCTGCTGTGCACCTGCCTCGCGGGGCTGATCGGGGTGAATGTGTGGTTCTTCTGCGTCGACGTGCCACAGCTCGCGGATCTGGTGTACGAGGTGCTCGGCGGAACAGGCTGCTTTCCGGATTACTCGGCCACGTCAGATAATCTGCGGATAGGCTTGGAGATGGTATGAGACTTTTGCTTTCGACGGCGGACGGACTCTGAAGGCTCGTGCTAGGCGGCCGCTGTATTCATGGATTTGATTTCCTTGCTGGTCATCGTTCTCGTGAGTAGTTGTTCTTGCCGTCTGGATTCGACATCCAACAACCGCTTCAGTATCGGATACAGAAAGGCCGGTTCCAAGGGTCGTTAAGCCGGGTATTCGTGAATCAAGGTACATTGCTTTTCATACAACACAATCCATCAATGTTCATCTTATCACAGGCCTGCTCGCGTTTGGGTGCATGTTGGCTGTCAACGCGACAGCGTTGGGGTCGTACTACAAGTCAGTGGCGTGGCGTGTCTCTCCCATCTATTCATTTCACTAATCATCTCACGCACTCGTCCTGCAGTCCAGATCTGTACCACAATGGGATGGCCCTCCCCTACATCCTCATTCTCCCCAACGTCGTGGCTTGCCGGGTGTACGTCTGTCTTTCGTCTGATCCGAGTGCCGTCTGTCTGATGTGTTTTGATGCAGAATTATCTCCCTGCGCACCAAGGCAAGACCGAGCGAAACAGAGCTTGATCGGCAACATTCTGCTTTGATCGAGGACGAACTCGCAAACTATGATGACTTTTGGACGACTCGGATGGATGAAGATGGATGACGACGCTAAATATCCATGTCCACTTGCACCATCAGACGCTATGAAAAAGACGGACACGGCTTCCGGAATTGCGTCGCCGCCAGACTTGGCCGCGGGATAAATACGGACGCTGCGGACCACATTGACGGCCTGCCTCGCCTTGGGAGACTTAATCTACGTTCAAGAACGAATGAACGCGTAATTGTTGTACTTGTATGTCCGCGCACGAGCTGTTATTACATCCTACAATGCCAGACCACCATGGACTTAACGACAGAAATTGGCGCGAAGATCCTCTTTAGCAGCCAGAACACCTTGGTTGAACCCATGCTCTGTCGGCCCGTCAGTAAACAATCATGTGACCAGCTAATGCAAACGAGATCTCGACTGACGAAACTCCCAGTAACCTGATCCATGATCATGCGTTCTCGTTCTGGCCCAAGCGCCGACAAACCCGAGCTCAGAAACCGGCCGCCCCACTCCGCCGCTCTTCTGAAAAAAAGCATATGCGTCGTCCCAGCCCAGACCGAATCCCTCGCCAAAGCGTTCATGCTGATACTTTCCCGGAACTGAGACCAGTATCCGACATGGGCATCTGCCAACAAATTAGGTTTACGGCATCTGTGATTGAGGTTGCGGGACGCACCGAGCGCCCGAGCTTTCAGCTGGTCTCGGGTGTCGTTCTCGTTTCTCCGTTGCACGTCTTCTTCTCCCCCGATCGGACTGGAGAGAAACATGCCTACCCGATCTGGGAAACGCGCCGGCTTCGACCGCATCTCGGAGACACCATCCTTTATCGGGTGTGCGCCTTGCTTCTTGTAAGTCCAGAAAAAGTACCCCGAGCAGTGCGCTTCGTAGAGCTGCAATTGGGCAGCGATGTAGCTTGGCACATCCTTGCTGCGGAACCGGCTGCGAGCGAGCCGGGATTCAGAGCGCCTGACCACTCTCTCCGACGACGAGGCCCCGCCCTGCTTGATTCCGCATCTCCGAGACGCGGCCAAACGCGCCGGCGTCTCGCCATCATCAGAGCTTGAGCATGTGCCGAGGCTGGAGTC